CTGTCTCTCCAGCCACCCTAAAGGCACTGCGCTTACCAGCTGTCTCCGGTGTTCACCAACATCTTTAACACCTCCCTGGAGACATGTCATGTACTAGCCTGTCTCAAGTCCTCCACCATCATCCCTGTGCCCAAAAAGCTAAGGCCAACAGGACTAAATGATTATAGACCGGTCGCCCTTACCTCTGTGGTAATGAAGTCTTTTGAACGCCTGGTTCTGGCACACCTCAAAGCCATCACAGACCCTCTCCTGGACCCCCTTCAGTTTGCCTACAGAGCCAACAGGTCTGTGGATGACGCAGTTAACATGGCCCTCCACTTCACCCTACAGCATCTGGACTCCCAGCATCCTACGCCAGGATCCTGTTTGTGGACTTCAGCTCTGCCTTCAACACCATCATCCCTGCCCTGCTTCAGGACAAGCTCTTCCAGCTGAACGTGCCCGACTCCACCTGCAGGTGGATCACAGACTTCCTGTCTGACAGGAAGCAGTGCGTTAAGCTGGGAACACAAGTCTCTGACTCCAGGTCCATCAGCACCGGAACTCCTCAGGGCTGCGTCCTTTCCCCACTGCTCTTCTCCCTGTACACCAACAGCTGCATCTCTAATCATCTGTCCGTCAAACTCTAGAAGTTTGCGGACGACACCACCCTCATTGGGCTGATCTCTGGTGGGGATGAGTCTGACTATAGGTGGGAAGCTGACAACCTGGTGACCTGGTGTAGCCAGAACAACTTAGAGCTAAATGCTCTAAAGACAGTTGAGATGGTTGTGGACTTCAGGAAGAATACAGCCCCACTCACCCCCATCACCCTGTGCGACTCCCCAGTCAAAACTGTAGAGTCCTTCCGCTTCCTGGGCACTATTCTCTCCCGGGACCTCAAGTGGGAACTGAACATCAGCTCCCTCACCAAGAGAGCTCAACAGAGGATGTACTTCCTACGGCAGCTGAAGAAATTCAACCTGCCAAAGACAATGATGGTGCACTTCTATACAGTAATCATTGAATCCATCCTCACCTCCTCCATAACCGTCTGGTACGCTGCTGCCACTGCCAAGGACAAGAGCAGAATGCAGCGTATCATCCACACTGCTGAGAAGGTGATTGCCTGCAATCTATCAACCCTCGAGGACCTGCACACCTCGAGGACCATGAGGCGAGCGAGGAAGATTGTGGCCGATTCCTTCCACCCTGGACACTCTCTGTTCCAGCTACTCCCCTCCGGCAGAAGGCTGCGGTCCATCAGGACCAAAACCTCACGCCACAAAAACAGTTTCTTCCCATCCGCTGCTGGCCTCTTCAACAAGGCCAAGGGCTTACACTGACTTTAACATTTTATCTAGAAAATAACACCTTGCCATATTTACACTATGTTACCCTATTTGTATTTTTTGTGTTTTTAGATTGTATCTTATAGCTACTTTATATTCAATATTCTTTTTTTACATACTTTAGCCCCTTAGTGTTAGTTAGACTTTGTACCTTTAGTATAGTTAGACTTGTACACCACTTATTTTAGATTTAAGATTACTATATGTTGAATTTATGCACCTTCCTGCCAAAGTAAATTCCTTGTCTGTGCGAACTTTTATGGCGAATAAAACCCTTGCTGATTCTGATTTTAACCCACTAAGGGCCCGTTGAGAACACCATCTCTTAACTCAAGAGACCTGGTTTACAAAGGTATTTATTACACACGTTACTTTTCCCAACTTGAAAGGCGGACATTTTCAAAAGCTATCAGAGAAGTTACATGAGTGTGGTAGAAAAATAAACAAAAACACACTTGCACTCAAAATTTCCAAGCAATGATTCCAGATGAATTGTCACGTGGTGTTATTTTTTTATTTTTTGGCATATTTCATGCTGTATTGGATGGTAGTTTTGGCAAAGATAACTTTATTTAGTCGGAGGGGCAGATAGCAAACAGCGGTTGAAGAAAATATAAACTCCAAAAGATCCACATCAGTGCTGAAACAGTCACATTTGGTCAGGCTTCGGTCGTATGCAGTCGTGATGGAAAAATACACCCTCGTAAAAGAGTAAAGGGTTAACATTAGTGTTTGGGTTATTGCATAGATGTCATGACTGAGCCCTCTATTCTTAGCCAGTATCTAAGGAGACGGCACAGCCAGTTTCAGCTACACAGCGAAATTTTGCGAATCTTGTACTTTTCAAGATGCAAACCCAACCCTTCCTACGGCAACATTTTTCGGATAACCCAACGTTTAGTACTTTATTACACAAGTAATTTTCAAACAAAATACTTCATTTTCGATATTTGTATTCCTATGCACAGATGCATTCCTCACTGTCCCTGCATAACTGACCTTTCGTAGTATTTACATGCCTAGTTTCCAAGAAAAGCCTCACTGAGCCTCAATACTAATTTGTAGGAGGGTCGTACATTGGGGTATATGTTAAATTTCTTTTAAAGAGTTTTTGTTTTCACATGGAAGGTAATCAAGCATACGAGTGGGTAAAAAAAAAACTCTGCACAGATGGATTAAATAATAGCTGTACTGCCATGCCCTGGCCACATCACTGCCAAGCTTGAAGTATTCACAGGCAATCTCCCATCCAAGTGCTAACCAGGCTTCAACATGCTTAGCATGATTTAAAGCTTTCGTGACTGCAGGGATTCATATTCTTGGTTCTTTCGGTAAAGTTACGTAGAAGGGAAACAATAAAATAATAAAAATATAAAACAATAAAATTCTCACGACGTTTCGACTGCAACACAAGCAATCATCATCAGGTGTGAAAACCACAACAAGAAAATTTGAAAAAAGTGGCGGTTATTTTTGACGTTAGCACCACGGAGAGAGTATTGACAGTTTGTTCAGATGGACGAGTCCATCTATGTTCGGAAAAGAGGAGGGGGGAGACGAAAAATAATAGATGCGGTCTGAAAGCCACCTTAAGCGTGATCAATCAATTAAGACCCGAAATGGTTTATCAAATCCTTCCAATGATTGCGAAGCCAGAAACCATCTTTTCGGGTGAAATTGTCACTGTGTTTGTATATGTGGATAGCCTCATAAACGAATCTCTCATGGTAGCCAGATGGCTTGCAAAGGACCTCTGTCTTGGAGAAGTCAATGTCATGTGAACCTACTGAATTATAACAGTGATCTTTTACAGACGGAACCAGATCCGTGATCTGGTTCCGTCTGTAAAAGATGTGATTCCGGACATACAGTACCCTGGCGTCTACAAACTAAGTTGCCTCTGTGGTAGTAGTTACATTGGAGAAACCAAACGACATGTCTCGGACCGCATTCGTGAACACAAAGCAGACCTGAAACACGGTAGGGCCAACATCTCGGCCGTGGCAGATCACTGTTATAATTCAGTAGGTTCACATGACATTGACTTCTCCAAGACAGAGGTTCTTTGCAAGCCATCTGGCTACCATGAGAGATTCGTTCATGAGGCTATCCACATATACAAACACAGAGACAATTTCAACCGAGAAGATGGATTCTGGCTTAGCAATCATTGGAAGGATCTGAAAAACCATTTCGGGTCTTAATTGATTGTCCACGCTTACGGTGGCTTTCAGACCGCATCCATTATTTTCGTCTCCCCCCTTCCTCTTTTCCGAACATAGATGGACTCATATTCTTAGCTCTTTCGGTAAAGTCACGTTGAAAATATATATAACAATATATTTTATTATTTTATTGTTTCCCTTCAACGTGACTTTACTGAAAGAACTAAGAATATGAATTACTGCAGTCACGAAAGCTTTAAATCAAAATAGATGGACTCGTCCATCTGAACAAACTGCCAAATCGCTCTTCGTGGTGCTAACGTTAAAAATAACCGCCACTTTTTTCAAATATTCTTGTTGTGGTTTTCACACCTGATGATGATTGCTTGTGTTGCAGTCGAAACGTCGTGATAATTTTATTGTGTTATATTTTTATTATTTTATTGTTTCCCGTCTACGTGACTTTACCGAAAGAACCAAGAATATGCTTAGCATGCTTGAAATTCTGATTAGACAATGCAGTCTGCTCCCTCACTTTTGTTAAACGGATGCACATAACAAAACGACCTAAACACATTTCTCAATGACACCGTCCTAAAATAAAAAATATATATAATGTGCGACGTTTCGAGCAGTGGCCGTTCTGCATTGCAGAGTACCACTGGCAAGTCAGTACGACAACTTTGTCTTTTTCTTTGTTACCGTATGCTCATGAAAAACGCGCTTCCAACGTGTGCCCAATGTCAATAAACTTATGCAAATCATGTGGAGGGGGGTCTAAGAATCCGGTATTTGTGTGCGTATAACAAGATTTATCACTTGTCACCGGGGACACAAGTTTGGGCTGCGTTTTACTTTCTGGTGCGTATCACCACATTTGTTATCACTCCACTGTCACCCGGGGGCGGCGGGGTGGGCAAAAGTTTGAGCTGCGTCTTACTTTCCGGTGCGTCTTATAATCCGGAACAGAAAGGGGAGGCCTGGGAGCCGCACGCGCGCCCATAGCAACAGCGCGACCGCTGCCCATTCCGCGCCGTTACGTCGCCGAGAAAGGGGGGGGGCGGCTCCCGATTGGTGCGGCGGAATCGCCACGCCTCCCCCACACGCCCCCGTACACTCGCAGCGGGTGCGCGCCTCTCCCCATTGGGTCCCCCCCCCCCGACTTACCGAACAGCTGAGCGGGGCCTCGCCTGAGCCTCTCGAGCTTGGTGGTGGTTGGTGGCGGTGGGCGTGCCGACGACCTCGTAAAAACACATGGGGTGGGCGGGGTCGTCGCACGCTCCAGCAGCTGTGAGTGGCTACGGGGAAAAAGGAAGGCGTGGCCTCGTCTTATACGGTGTTGGGGGTGGGCGGGGCGTCGCGCGCGTTCGAGCTGCTGTGAGTGGCTATGGGGAAAAGAGGGCGTGGCCTCGCTTTATATGGTGCTGGGGGAGGTGCGGGGCGCTCCGCGCGCTCGAGCAACTGTGGAGGGGGCGAGAAAAGGGGGGGCGCGGCCTCGCCTTGTATGGTGTTGGGGGCGTGACGTCATGCGCGATCAGCTGTTTCGGGCTCCAGGAAAAAAAGAACACAACAAAAAAGGAGGGGAGAAAAGTATTAAAGCACTTAGCTCGGGATAAACAAAGGCGGAGGCAGGCTCGGAGCGTCGGGGAAATATACCGTATTTTTGTAACAAACAATAAAATAAAATCATATTTTTAAATATATATCTATAATTATTACATTATTGTGCGCTCGCACGTGTGTGTGTGTTTAAATCGACGAAGACGACGACGAATATCGCGGTGCAAGCTGCTGCCCTGTCTGTGGTCGCGCTGTTCCCCCTCGAGGTAAGAGACGCACGCACACACAACCCGGGGTTGAACCCACAGCGTTCTGGTTTTGCTCTGCGGGCCAGTGTCTTCTCCCTCCGCCACCAGGCGTCTACGGCTGCTGCTGCCGTAGACGCCTGGCGTTGTCTTGGCTAAGACTTTCTCTTACACCATGGCGTCTCTCCCTTCTGCTACGGGCTTTTCTAGACTCCCCCTGCCCTTGGCTCATATTCAGCTGGCTGACTTTTGTGCGTTTGAGGTTGGGTTTTTTTGTTATTGCGCAGGGAATTGTGTGCGTGTGTGTTCGTTCTTGGCCTCTTCTTGGTCGACTTGACCTCAAACGAGTACCTGGCTGCGGTGTGTAAACACCAGCACCTGGGGACAGACAAGATCGGCCTGGCGTCGATGGTACTAGCAATACCATGTACGACACCTCCAGCTTATTCGTGCCGGCCTTCATAGGCGCTCGCACGAACTGGATGGTAGGGGGGGTGGCGCGATCTTTGTCTTCGTGTGTGTAGCATGGTAGACCAGACTGCCGTTAGACAACACATGCCCTACAGATGGTGCTGTGACATCACTGTACGCCCATGTGTATGTTACACACATGGACTATGTATGTACGTGTGTGTCAGTACACACACGTACACATGGAGTATGTACATTGTATAATCTGTGGACTGCGGTAACCGTGAGTTGTTTACTCCACTCCTAGTTCACGGCTGCTTTGGCCAATGCTTGGCCTAGCAATCGCCAACATTATTACTCCAGTGTCAACAGCAACTGCGTAATGTTATTGTATCTGGATACATCCGCGTTCGCAGCGTGAGGATAATAATAATTATATAAAAAGCTGTTGTTGTGGTATTATACAGTACATGACACACGTTGGCTTGAAGGAATATATAAATGTCCATGCTTTGTATGCACTCGTGTGTCCACACATTAATATGAGACGTGGGTTGTTGGTTTTTGTTTGACAAGATAATACCAATAATAAAACGTGTTAAAATCGGCACGGCAGAGACTGCAAACAATTTCACGTCAATATAAACCCAGGACTGTGGTGGCACACACACACACTGGTAGAGTAACACATTGTTGGTTGAAAAGAAAATATATTTATACGCACACTACTGTGCGTTTGGGCATCATCTGCCGCAAAAGAGCTTTATAGCTCATCGGATTCCTCCAGTGTAAATAAAGCTGCTGACTCTGGGCGTGTGTTAATATGTACGTGAGACTGAGCAATAACATTAGGTGCGTCTTTGTCCATAAAGCTGCAGACCCTAATCCAGGGGAACTTCGTGTCCCTTGGCAGCGGTGATGTCGAGGAAATCTCTTTGTTTGAGGGCAGGAGGGCGGAGGAGAGTGGGGGGCAGTGGCTTGTTGATTTGTGGTGGTGGTGGTGGCGGGGAAGAAGAAGGAGGTGGTTGCTGATGGTGGGGGATAGTGGTGGCAGTGGTGGACGACAAGGTGGTGGTGGTGGTGGTGGTTGGTGGTAGCAGTCGGTGTTGGCTGCGGGAATCCGCTGACGCCGGCTAGAAATATGACCCAGGAACGTCCACACGCTGAGCAATCATTGGGCAGCCCGATTCGGAATAAGGCTTGTTACTAGGCGCGAATGGATGGGGGTGTGCAGGCAGAGAGCTGAATGGGGCCGAGGTCTCCTCTGCTCAGCAGGGCAGAGGAGGAGAGCGATGGAGGAGGAGGAGGAGGCATGGGTGGGTGTGGGTGGTTGCGTGCGAGCGAGCGAGGTTTGAAGCCCTTCCCAGTGTTTCGGATGACGTCCTTTGGGCTAAGCGACGCGCACACAGGGGCCCCGCGGTACATCGTGTACAAAAAAGCTAATAAATAATAAATGAAAAGCAGGGGTGGAGAGAGAGAGAGGTGGTGGTGGTGGGGGGGTAAACACAGCACGCAGGCCGGGGTTTGAGTGTTTTGTTCTGGGATGTTATTTTGAGGGTTGAATTTTGGTGATGGGGTGATAGGGGTGGTGGGTGGGGGGTATGGGCAGGAATTAAGTAAAGATGTAGGGGCAGGATTGGTTAGCGACTCTAGTTGGATGGAAGACTGCCCAGAGAGAGGATGGATTTGGGGTTGTGTGCTGCGAGGTAGCCAGCATGGGACAGTACAGCAGTGGATTATTGAATCTATCTCTGCTGCGCTTTCAATGTTATCCCCAAGTGTGTGGTTAAGTGGTTTTCTGAGTTCTCCAGTTTATCTCCACAAGCCACTTATAATTGGATTTGACGAAACATCCCAAATGTAGGACCCTCCTGAAACAAAAGTCAGAAAAAAATCAGCTGAGGCTTTATTATATTAAAAGGAACATTATTATTATTGAAACCAGATCGTGTGCAGGTGTTTAGACGGATTGCAAAACCGTGAGAGGCGGAGACTGGGGGATAATTTCCTCATGGCTACTGATAAATCACAGTTATTGATACCCAATTTTTACGTGCAAAATAGATGTTTATTTTAATAAGCTATGCCCTGAGTATATAATGTTCACGGTGATGCTATGAGGTGCAGAAATAAACGTGTGGGCTGCGTGTCCCAGGGCTGCTCTCCGGTGGCTGGTGCAATCCACGTTGTTTGTTGCTCTCTGTGTCAACACAGTCCTTGTCGAAGCCTTGTCAGAGTTCACCCCCACCACCACCACCACCACATCTCTAGCACGAGCGTGTGGGGCGGACGAGTCCAAACATGCCCCGAGCAGCTGCTTCGCCCAACACTTATATAGTATCGCGATACATTCTTTTGCACGTCTTATCATGACACTTGTACGATAAGTAATAAAGCGAGAAGGGAGCAAAAAAAAGTATTTCACAAGTTTTGGAACGCAACGTTTTGTTGTCTGTGTCACCCCCCCCCGCCTCCCTCCCCCCCCCCCCCCCCGAAAAAAAAAAGTGTGTTAAGAGCTGCATGCCAAAGCAAAAACTGCAGCAAAATAAAGAGAATAGTATAAAATTTGCAGCCTGGTTCAAAACAGGATTCCGTGACGTCTTTTGTTTTGTCGCGGTTGCCATTGGTCGAGAGTTGAGACGTCGGCTCCTCACCGTGACGTGAACATGATCGATCATTTGTCCCCTTGCGCATCAATAACACCTTGGGGGAGTAAACACATCTAACAACACATGGCCTAAACAAATAATGTCATTTTGATAAGACTTTATTTTTACCGCACTAGTTAATGATCCTGTAATTGTGTTTACGTGTGTGTATAAATGGCTTTTATGACCTCGCTGTTATGAAACGTGTTTATGCGTCAAAGATTAATCTGGCCTTTACAGTGTGCATCACGCTAGTTCTCCACACAATACGCAACTCCCAATCATTTGCTGTTAACACCAAGGCCGTAATTATAATATATATTTGGGGACACACACATCCCCCCCCAATATTCAAATATGCTCAAAATATCCCTCCCAATATATTGCTATAAAATAGATTTCTGTTCATATGATTGTGGTTATGGTTGTACTTTATTAATCCCTAATCTCTGCCATTACATACAATGAAACAAGAAAAGGTAAAAAAAGAAAAAAAACAGAGCAATGTAATACAATACACTATTAGACATTGTAAAAAATTAATAAAAAGTGCATCCTATGTGTTAGTTCATTTTTTTTATATTTTAGGCAGGAAATCCGTTTTCAAAGTTAGATTTTTTCTTTCTGGGGGGAGACCCCCAGGCCCCCTGGAAGATTTAGTCCCCCCCAATGTTGACTCCATGGCTACGACCTTGGTTAACACAGATCTGTTGGACCGAATTATGCCAGTATGATGGTATTAAGGACATGGTCATAATTCCTTTAAAATAATTAATTATTTGCGCTAACGTTTGTTTTCCAGATCTTGCACAACAGCTTAGCAACGTGTTGTCGATGGCTTTTTGGCACTTCCCACATTTTGTGGCTACTTTGATATGACTTTCCATGCCCCATCTATGTCAATGCTGGGGTATTTTGTGGCTACTTTGATATGACTTTCCATGCCCCATCTATGTCAATGCTGGGGTTTATTTAGAACATTCCTTCAATAAGGTCCAGTTATAAGACAAATACGCCTTCCTTTTGTTGTCTCTTTTACTTTACCACAGAGCATCCCCAGGGAGGTAACGTTGCGTGATTTAAGCCAACAACACCAATTAATTTAATTTGTTATTAGCCGCTTAATGGTATACATGTCGGTGTGGTATATCTAAAACATCATCGTAACTAAGCATAGGGATATTTTCCTGCTATACTTTGTAGGGCAGCAGATTAAAAAAAGGCATGGGTCCAGGGTTACCACATAACATGCTGATAATGCTTTGTGGTTTTCAGCCTCGAATCTGCTCTTGGAGGTAGTGATGGGTCTGGGAAGGTTTATTCACACCACCCCAAGTGCTCGGGTAGAGCCACACAACAAGGGGGATGTGATATTTTTTTGTTCCAACTGTTAGTGGGTGCATAATTAAAGTGATGGATCACAAAATAGCTGACACAGTTGGGTCACATCTGCCCTCCCAGCTCCTTGGTTCCATGAAAAAGAATGCGGTCAAAGGGTCATCCACCTTCCAATTTTGCTGCACATTGTTACGACAATAACTGTGAAACATTGACACGACTTTGAACAGGCAGAAAGGTCTGTTTACCTTTATCAAATTCACTTCCATGCCCTGGCATTTGTATGTGCGCAATACTTTGTGTGACTAATAACATTTAGCTTCACCAAAAGCAAGGATTCTGATGACTTTAGCAGAAAAGGGCCTGTTTAGACATGCCTTATTACAAACTTGAGTCTCCTCCAACCTTGAACTGTCATAGCCCCCCCCCTCTCCAACTGGATACAAAAAAAACGAATTCACATAAATTCATTATAAGTTACTTCAGCACCCATACTACATGTCATTTATTTTCTCCCAAAGATTAATTTCAAGGCTTTTTGCTTGAACAGAAACATTATCAGCTGGTTAAAAGTTGCTTTAAATCTTCTGTTGCAGTGTCTCAGGGTCGGATGAAAACATCCTCGAGAGGGGGGGAGACCTTCACTTGCCGAGGGACGGTTCGACCGAGCCACCACTGGTGCTAAAGCCTGCCACACCTGGGCGGACACATTCCTCCTTCACTTGTGAAGGGACCTGCCATGTTTCAGAGGCTCAGTGGGTTCTTGTTCCCAGAGGAAGAGAACCCAGCCCCTCAGTCCAGGCGCGCATCTTCACTGACCGAGTCGGACGGCGACGAAGGCTGGATAATCATCGACCTTACTGGCAAGTGATACGCACCTCGCTTATATTACTGTAATTTGAATTATGCTAACTCCATAATGTCCAACCAGCCTGTAAGTGTAGGCCAAAATACCGTCTTGAGAAAGCTGACTCTCTAGCTGAAGCCCTTTTTCCAGCATTGGTGTGAACAAGCAAATGCAGGGCTGCACCTTTGCTCATATGAATAACAGTATGCAGCTAAGAATCTTTAGGATGTGAGAATATAAGCTTGATGTAGATGCTTAGTGAGGTGACATCTTGGTTAGTATGTGTGTAGAAGTGTTTATGCACAGCCCTTTGACAATCCACTGGATGAGGACATCCCTCACGCGATGCGAACTGTGGAGATAACTTGACTATACTTCTGCTCACTGGCCAATATGGGTTGGTGAAGACGGGGGGGGTGCGATGTTTCGAGCTTATCAGTACAGTACAATAATGCTGTCACCCCGCAGCCTCGCAGAACATAGCCTATAACACTTGGCATGCAAGGACTATCCAAGCTAAAGCCTGCTTAGCTTCTGAAATCTGAAGGGTTTGGACACATGCCGGATTATTTGATCGTAGGTATTTTGTATAATGATCCATCACATAAGCATTGCCACGAGTATAATATGTAGTTAAAAATGTAGCCCACAGTTTCATAACATACTGTTAACGTTATTTTTTTTTTAATCGCTCTTTAAAATATTTAAATAAACCTAAGCTGTTATTATATTAATGTCTGCTATGCATATGCATGGGTTTAATTGTGGTGTTTATTGCTTGTCCTTTTTCCCAACATCACTTTGGAATCTTAACTCAACGTTGAACGAAGAAGACGTGAATGGCAATATTACCCGCGATGCCCTTACGGATGAAGTTGACAATGACAGCTTTAACCCTCCTCACCAGCAACTTACTTCCTCCAATACCAGCAACTCTGAGGATGGCACTCCAACACAACCTGCAGAGACTTCACGAGAGGCAGAAGATTCGAGAAATTGTCAGCCTACGCTACCACTACAGGTGAATTTCCCTGGTGCTACCGGCAATGCTTGCGGTGACAGTTCATTTGATTCTGCACCTACCGAGCTGATCTCTTTCGTGGACAATTGGTTTGAGCCTCCACCAGCCACTTCCTCAGCCTGTTCTATAGAAGCCAAAAATATTGAGTGCCCGACGGTTCAAGCGCGTAGTAGCCTTCAAGGTCCACGCACACTTGAGGAAAGTTGGATTCTGCCCAAGCGTGTGGGCTCGCCCCCAGCTCCGCCCTGTCCCGAGTGCAGCGACGATGACGAGGACTTCTCCTTCCCGGACGGCCGTGCGTTGGCAGCGGAATATTCTGACGGGAGCAGCTCCCAGAGCGAGCCCAGCACTCCGAGGGGCATGGAGGAGAGCTGGCTGCTCGCTCCCCCGCCGTGTTTCTCAGCACCGGGAGAAGGCAGCTCCAATCGGGGCCTCGAGAGCAGCCCTCTGGAGAACCTCCTCATCGAACACCCGAGCATGTCGGTGTATGCCGCCTTCCGCCGTCGCCGGCCCAGCGGGCAGCCTCTCCACGGTGCCGTGGCTGTAGCTGCAGCACGGGGGACGCGACAGGAGTCCTCCCGGCGCAAGGCCAAGGGCCGCAGGCCGGAGAATCGGACACGCTTCCCCGTGCAGAGGGGAGGGCAAGAGTCTCCGCAAAGGTAACAGATTATACGGCGTGTGACGAATCGGTGCCCTTGTGATGCGATGTGTTGTCGTCGTTTAAGGTTGTGGTCCGATTCAAGATCTACTTATTTTTCTACATATTTTTACGCTTTCCAATAAAGGCTGAAAGTGTTAGCTCTGTCTTAATTAAATCTCTCTGTCAGTCAAGAACCGAAGGGCACAGTAACTTTTATGATCCAATATGAATGAACCTGTAATATAAAGTTATTTTGCCGTTTGGGACTTTTATTATTGAAAATTGGCCAAATTGGTCATAGTTGCCCAAAACTTGGAGACACAAACCAAATATAAAAAAAATATTAATTGCTAAGATGTAAATGTCTTTTGCCCTGATAGCGACCAATGGCTTTCATACTGATAATGAAATACTTCCAAAGAGAAACACATGTTGGAAAGTGTTACATAATCCATGCATTTGCATGATTTTTCCTAACTTGTTAATTCAACCTAAAGTGGCCTCAGAGATAACATGAACTAATTATTTACAACATGTATGAATATAAAACAATTGATTCTCCCAAGCACATGTATCATGATCGTAAGAATTACTTTTAATCTATGTGTGCACCGTTACATGCGGATTACTCAGGCTGGACCAAGTTTGTGCCTTGTTTAGCTGGCAAGCAGTGCCCATTTAGTGGTGAAAGAGTCTTGTGTTTTTTCACATGGTGTGCTAATGCGATAATTATATAATAACTTATAATTAAATGCCCAATTAACACCTAGAATACGTTCAGTGGCTAGGTGGCCGAAAAGGTTACAGTGCTGAGCTGGCATTGCTGATATTCTGGGTTTGAAGCTGATTAAAGCAGGTTTGAAATTGTCGTGAGTTGATGGTTTCAGCCCAGTCGCCAATAACTGCACACAAAAAATACTCGCGCAACATTTGTTTCTGCTCTTAAATTGGCTATTCCAGCTCTGAGAATTAAAATATTGGTTAGAATGCCATGTGACCAATACTTTATGGCAGTGTTGATAGGACAGTGCTGCCCTCTACTGTGTAGACCAGGTCACTTGAAATAATCTCAGAGGTAGCTTTGTAGTATTTACTTCTGTGGGCCATTCTCTAACTGGACTGTTTGCACCGCTTTGTGAGATCCAAATGGATTCCACCTCGCATGATCTGACACCGAGAGCACAATCGGGTTAAAAATTGGGAAAATTACAGAACATTTTTTTTGTGATTCTGTTGTATAGATCTGTTTCCTTTTTAGATTGTACTGCATGTTGTGTTGGACATAATGTGACGTTTTGCTCCACGTGTAGGAGCGAAACGTCGGACGTGTCAAACAATATGCTGTTCAACCCAATTTCTTGTTTTGTGCCCTTGTCACGAGAGACGCTGCATGTGCTGTGCTATCATCTTCGGGAACTGAACGGAAGCTCTTGGCCTATTGGACATCGTGCCAAACAGCACGCGATGTAAACCGAAAACACATCGGCGAGCTTTACTGTACGTCGAATATAAGCTTGTGTCGTTTACAGTTAGCTTGACAATAGCCATTGTTTTTCAGCAACACAGCGCCCAGCTCCCCGCGCCGTGCACCACGCCGATCCCCTGCAAGCGTGGCAGCGAACGCGGCCCGCAGCCTGTTGGAAAACGCCCGCCGCCTGCACCGCTCGACGCTCGTCGGCCTGCGTAGCCCGCGCCTGCAGCCCAGCCGCCGCCAGCTCCAGAGGCAGAATGACGCTAGGAACCGGGCCTCCTTTTCTGGCAAGCACCGGGGAAATGTTATAAAGCAGCCCGGATTCAGGTCTCACAAATTTTGATGGGACTGGAGCCATGAGTTACATGGGGAAAGGACTGTTTTTAGTCAGTGTGTTTGCATGCCCTGGTGTCATTCTCGGTGTGTGTGTGTGTGCTTATGAACATAGCTTATTGTTTTTGTTATGTGGTTGTGCTTTTTAAGATGTAAATGTCTGGAATTTGAGTAGACTTGTGTAGAGCTGCATGCTTTTTTCCCACACGACTTGACTAAACATCACCTGGATCTTGATTCACAAGCAGGCGCAAAGGTGGGCAATGCGGTGTTTTTAGAAGTGATTTCCAGTGACAAGTTGTTGCTGAAATGTTACACCATAAAATGGTTGTATAGAGTTCAGCCTTTCGAATATACAGTTCGTACACTTCAAAGCAAAGGTACCTTTACATTGTAAGGTATAGTTCATTTATGTTTTAAATGTGCATATTCAAATACTTTTTCTTTCATATTCTTTGTGATACTTCTTTGGTAAATCAAGGAACCCTGTTACCACCCAGTTACGTTTGTGTCCCCCCCCCCCCCACGTCGATCTTTCATCACGGGTTCACGCGGGGTGGGAGTCAGAATTTCATGCACATTTTATCAAAATGTTTTTTTTTCTGGTGGGTCTGCGTTTTAATGTTGAATCGATTACCTTATTTATGGAACCATGTTCACAAGGCCCTGCCCCTGTTTAATTTGCACTGATAGTGTTGATTTGAAAGTGTTCACATGGACATTTTGTACTTTTGTACCCTGCACGACACAAGACTGTGGAAATATACTCATGGCTCGCAGAGCAGCAGAAGAGGCTGAGGATGAGAGACTTGAAGACTGAGGACCAAAACGCACCCCCTTCACCCAATGTTCCAAATCATTCGGAGGATAAAAGAAAAATACTAAATTGCAGTTACAACTGTTTTTGTTAATGCATTGCTGTGACGGTTAATGTGCACATAAAACAGGCTTATTGAATAGTTATGTTCTGGAAGATATAAAATATTCTCGGGCCAGAAACTTCTTTACAACTCCAATAAATGTCTTGCAAATTTTTTTAAAGCAAAGTAACTTTCCACTGTGACGATGTGGTGTTCTCTAATTCAGATGAGGCTTTTCACAGTGCCAAAATAAACAAAAAACGTGAGGACATCGTTCACGTGGATCTCACGCACCATGAATCTCCCTTGTAAAATAGCCAGGAAACTGGCTAAACTGGATGATCCATGTAACAAATAATATGAACTTCAACTTGCTGCCAGAAACAAATAATTCTAAATTCATGGCCATACTTACACTCCAAATCCCCGAAAAAGCTTAATAATTTAATTTTCCCCTGCAATGTACAACTCAACTATTGCAATTGTCAAAGTGCACAACTGTTTAATTGCTGTATGTGAGCAACATGGAAAATGTGCAGTTTTGTAGCTTGGCTATATTAGTGAATATTTTATCAGCCCCCCCCCCCACCCCGCTTGGTATATGATTTAAACCCAAAATCAATCTGGCTTCACTGGAATATTTAATTGATAAATAAAATAAAATATATTGCAATGGTTTCAATTACTAACGTCAATCACCTGCTATGAATATTTAGTAATTCTTGTCTAACCCATTGGAAATATAAACAATCTCCTTTTGGGGTGCAGCAGTGCTGCGCTATGAACTTGACAACCTGAGTTCTATTTCCACCCACAATCAGTGGTGAGTGATATATGAATCGGTCCCGGGCCAATGTGATCCATAAACTCGTACTTGCGAGTACGATGAAATATGGTTAAACCTTCACAATCATCCAGCTGTAAATTGACATGGGGCTGTAAAATATGATTTTTAGTTAAATATTCCAGGGAAAATATATTTCAATACGCAATCAGGAATTTCATTAATTAATAGTGTAAACAAGAAAAGTAGATGTTCAACAGATTGCAAAGTCAAACATCAACCCCAATATTGCACCTTCTAATTTAATACTGTGCTGTAGTGTATTTAAATATTCTGGTTTCACAGCTTCATTACAGTTGCTTTTGAATATATTCGTTGACATTTGTTTAAAAGTAATTTTTTTACTAGCATATTATGTAGGTTTTTTGTACTCAAGTACTGTACTGCATTGGCATCATCTGTTTGAAATGATTGTTGACCGTTTTATGGTTCATGAAGGTAATTTTTGTGTGTTTACCTAATATTTGTCACTTTCAGGATATTTTATTGTGCTTTATTTTATCTTTGTAAACTGAGTAATGTTTTATTAGTTGTACTTTGACTACCATTTGATGCTAAGCTTTGAAAATGCATGTTTCACGATTATTAATATTGAGTGATTGACGTCTCTGAAATACATTTATATTGAAACGTTTTTGTTTAATATTTGTTTTCATATTATGATTTGTTTTAAAATGCAAGCATGGCACATTAATGAAAGGGTATTGTGGGAAATAATTACCAGCATGTTCACCTGCAGTAAATGCTATATCGGTTGTTCCGGAGTGCCACTCGAATGTCTAGCCAGTAAATATAATTACATTCGGTGGCTAGTCATGACTTGCAGGTAGCTCAACGTTAGAGCCATCAGCTCGTGAGCGGAAGGTTGCATGTTCAAGTCCTGATTGATAGATGAGTACCACTCTGCGGGGAAGTCAACGGTCGATGTCCTATGGATAGACTTGCCCCCGCCATAAGAATGTGACATTTCCACAGTCTCAGGATGGTAAACAGGAGATGTGAGCCCTCTGAGTGCGCACATGTGACCAGGAAATCACTTTGGATTTTATTTTATATATTTGCAGCACCATACTCATGTTGAAACGATTAGATTAATTGATTATAAAAGTAAACAATATTAATTGGTCTCCAATACACAGGAAACTCAAAGCGGTGCACGCCCAGCGTGATGCACTGATGACGACATCGCTAATCCTTGCCTACCTCAATCTTTCATTCAGCATCATTATTTGTGAAAATTGTGCAAATTACATGCTAGTTTATTGTATTTGATTACCGTAATCAAATTAAGCAGAAATTGAGAGATAATATAAGGTCAGCTCTACACCAGGCTGACACTCTGGAAACTGTGGTTTGGCCCCCTAGTGCAGAGGAACATGCTGTTAATGTGACCCACTGCATTAATGTATTATTATTTTTGCCAGTTTCATAGTTTCAAACGAAGTACCTGTACTGAATAGAGACATATGGCGCAATTGTTTTGTGTTTTAATGTCATTATGAGAAGATAAAACATGTTATGAGTATTTGTGTACATAAATTGATGTACTGTGTAGTTTAGGTTCTAAAGCCAAACGGCTACAATCTCGGGTTCTGTGTTAATGGTGCTACAAGAACACAGTTTACAGAAAAGCCTTTTCTGTCTTCACAGAAATGTTGACCTAAAGATTTTGACAATGTTGAAGTGAGTCATACTTGACGATTTAGCAAAATGCTGGTGGAATTGAACATAAATATAGAAAGTGCAGTTCTTTCTGAAGACCGGTCGGGAATCGAACTTGTGTTTAAAAAAAAAAGTTGTTAAAAAAACTTACGCGTGTTTGTGGTCTGGCGTCGGTTGGTCCGATTGTGTAATATCGCATGTGTACATTGTAGCAAAAAAAAAACCTCAGGGTATACTTGATGTGTGGAAGTAATTGTTTCAGCAAAGCAACAGAAAAGGGCATTGTGAGAATCTTGCTTTGTGGTCATTATGGTGAGCTGACATATCTCATATGGTTGAGGTGAACCCATGGCGCGAGTGTTTTAGAATGTTGTGCATCCGTAACATGAACAGTCGAGCACACACGGTTGTTGGACTGAAAGCAGTTTGGTGTTCACTTTATTTATGCCTGCATTACTGTGATTGTGAGTGTCCGTACATTCCGCTACTCTATATTTAAAGGGTGAAAGCGACATTTAAAGATGTATGGTGGTATAAAGTTAAAAGTTGAAAATTCTCATGATCAGTAGAAGTTGAATATTATGCCACTGTATTCAGCAAAAGGATATACACATTCCAAAGTCAATGTGTAGAGTCCATAATTGGAATAATATTAGCACATATCACCATTAGAACGTATCCACTATACAAACCTAACTTTGGTTTAAGGTTCATGTAAACAAGACGACAACTTTCTTGGATTATGGTAGTAATGCTAAGTAGGTATATGGGCAAATTATGGTGATCCGTATATAATCCGTCGTTTTTTTAATGCATTTTATTCCGTTTGAATATGTCAAGTCTGTAAGTAAACTAGAGAAAGTTCAAGAAATGAACCTGACGCTTGCCATGTGTAAATGATGTTCTGACAAATACGTACGTGTGTGTGTGCTGCAGTGTAAATGGCTGAGAAGAAGTTCAGTCGCAGCTGCATCTGTTGAGCTTGGGTTCTGTACAGCTTTATTTCAAGCACGTTTGCTTCTGGCGTTTTTTGTGTAACCTTGCCTTTTATCTGTGTTCACTGTAAATTGTGCCTTTTTTATCACGAAACTGTTTAATTGTAAAATATAAAATAACAAAAAAAACAAAAATGCGTTTAAAAAAAAACAAATAATAAAAAACTATGCAAAAGTTACACGCTGGCAATTGCATTTATTTTAAGTCTGAGTAAATATGCACGATGTTATTCAGTAAGTGCCTCTCTAGAAATGTGTACAGCACTGTATCTCTATGGAATGAGATTCCATAGCTGAGTGCAGTGTTGGCTAGCAAAACCAAACTCACACCAAGTTTGTCATTAACATCACTACGCAGCATAAAAAAAATATAGAAACTGGCGTATGAGGAATAATTCATTATTTTTTTCCCCTTGTAACCCACTGCCTTTTATTATCTAATATAATTTTATATTCATAGAGCGCCTTCACTGACGGCACTTGACGGTAAAAAAATCGGTGACAGAATCGAATGATTTAGATGGCAGGGGCGTGCAAGGGTTGAGGAATGGGTGACAGTGATAGGGGGGTACTTAGGGATCGCGGTAGGGTAGGGATGGGAATGAGTGGAGGGAAGAGGAAGAGTGAGCAGGAGCAGGAGAGAAGGTGAGGCTTTAAGAGAGGAATGGAAGGAGGTTAATGAAGGGGGACTGCTTAATGTACAAGGGAAGTTTATTCCAGTGGCGAGGTGCGGGGAGGAAGAATTACTGAAAATGGGATTGGGCACAAGGAGGGGAGGGACAGAGAGACGATTGGAAATTAAGATAAGCGAGAACATAGGAGTTAAGAGGCAAGATAATTATGGTGGGGCAAGGCCATGAAGAGATTTAAAGACTACATTATATTATTTTATATCCATAATTCTAGAGACATTGAGGAAGCACATGTGCTATTAAGTAGGGATATTGCCCGAAATGTCATCTATTATATTTCCAATATGTTTTCCATTTAGGGCAGTGTTATTGATGAGTGTGCTAATTTTTTGGTATGCATGCATATGTACTACGACCAACGCAGTACCGTATCTAAAACAAATCTATTCGTTTTTACTTGGTGGAAATCTATAGTCATTTAAACTCTCACTGAGACGGAACTTTTTTTTTTAGAAGGTAAAACATTTTTTTTAAATAACACCTACGTTGAGAATACCAAAATACATATTGTGAGAGTCAGACATGGATAAACGCTTTCGTTAAAGTTATTCATTGCCATTCGGAGATACTTTCCAAAAAATTTAGGTTTTTAGAAATGTATAAATGCAGTATATAAAAATATATTCATCATCTCTGATATCCTGAAGACAAGTCATGACAATCCATGAACACTTTGTATGATGGACGGGATATCACGAGATGGAGGAAGAACCCCAGTGGTGAAGGCTAATGATGGAGTGGCAATCAAAGGAGGGAACGAGCCAAAAAAGACATCTTCCACAAAGACGGAGCGATGAAATCTGCTTGTGTGCAGGCAAGATGTGTGCTAATTGGAGGTGTGGGGATTTGTTACATCACATGAGAGATGGCAATGGCTTGGAGTGGCCTTCATCCAGTAGTGGATTGATCATGGCTATAATGAAACCACTGCAAATGCAGTCCAATTACAGCGTATGATCGAGAGTAAAAAGTTATTCTAAAGATCATGATATGACAGTCAAATCAGTTGTTACATGTCTAGAAGTTTTTCTTAAGTACAGTATTCATGAGGGGGGGGGTTAAAGTTTTCTGCACACACAGCTGAAGTAATTACTTTGCAGTAAGGTCGAGGCTTCACTGAGAATGGAATATCTGGAGTTATTGGGGCAGTGTTCAAGTGAATCCATGACTGAATGTGCGCCGTTAATGATGTTGTACATGTACAGCCTCCCCATGTCGTGTATGTCCTGGGGTGTATTTGACCAGTCCACCACGCTGGTCAGTGTGGGTTGAAGGCAGCACGGCGCATAGACGTTGGGTCATGTGTATAATGCAATGGATTTTGTTGTACTGCCTTCTGTGTAACCGAGCAGCAGCCTATAACACCTGTTCTATGCATGGTGGCCACTTATCCACCATCGAGCGATTTTATGTGAAATAAAAAAAAAGTTTCAGGAAATTCGAACCAAAAATGGTTGCCGACTCCTGGGCGAGCAAACAATGAAATGCCAATTGCTTTGATGAAGGGACATTGCCCGAAGCGTCACCTATTATACAGTGAGGGGAAAAAGTATTTGATCCCCTGCTGATTTTGTACGTTTGCCCACTGACAAAGAAATGATCAGTCTATAATTTTAATGGTAGGTTTATTTGAACAGTGAGAGACAGAATAACAACAACAACAAAGTCCAGAAAAACGCATGTCAAAAATGTTATAAATTGATTTGCATTTTAATGAGGGAAATAAGTATTTGACCCCCTCTCAATCAGAAAGATTTCTGGCTCCCAGGTGTCTTTTATACAGGTAACGAGCTGAGATTAGGAGCACACTCTTAAAGGGAGTGCTCCTAATCTCAGCTTGTTACCTGTATAAAAGACACCTGTCCACAGAAGCAATCAATCAATCAATCAGATTCCAAACTCTCCACCATGGTCAAGACCAAAGAGCTCTCCAAGGATGTCAGGGACAAGATTGTAGACCTACACAAGGCTGGAATGGGCTACAAGACCATCAGCTTGGTGAGAAGGTGACAACAATTGGTGCGATTATTCGCAAATGGAAGAAACACAAAAGAACGGTCAATCTCCCTCGGCCTGGGGCTCCATGCAAGATCTCGTGGAGTTGCAATGATCATGAGAACGGTGAGGAATCAGCCCAGAACTACACGGGAGGATCTTGTCAATGATCTCAAGGCAGTTTCGACCATAGTCACCAAGAAAACAATTGGTAACACACTACGCCGTGAAGGACTGAATTCCTGCAGCGCCCGCAAGGTCCCCCTGCTCAAGAAAGCACATGTACATGCCCGTCTGAAGTTTGCCAATGAACATCTGAATGATTCAGAGGACAACTGGGTGAAAGTGTTGTGGTCAGATGAGACCAAAATGGAGCTCTTTGGCATCAACTCAACTCGCCGTGTTTGGAGGAGGAGGAATGCTGCCTATGACCCCAAGAATACCATCCCCACCTTCAAACATGGAGGTGGAAACATTATGCTTTGGGGGTGTTTTTCTGCTAAGGGGACAGGACAACTTCACCGCATCAAAGGGACGATGGACGGGGCCATGTACCGTCAAATCTTGGGTGAGAACCTTCCGTCAGCCAGGTCATTGAAAATGGGTCGTGGATGGGTATTCCAGCATGACAATGACCCAAAACACACGGCCAAGGCAACAAAGGAGTGGCTCAAGAAGAAGCACATTAAGGTCCTGGAGTGGCCTAGCCAGTCTCCAGACCTTAATCCCATAGAAAATCTGTGGAGGGAGCTGAAGGTTCGAGTTGCCAAACGTCAGCCTCGAAACCTTAATGGCTTGGAGAAGATCTGCAAAGAGGAGTGGGACAAAATCCCTCCTGAGATGTGTGCAAACCTGGTGACCAACTACAAGAAACGTCTGACCTCTGTGATTGCCAACAAGGGTTTTGCCACCAAGTATTAAGTCATGTTAAAATGCAAATCAATTTATCACATTTTTGACATGCGTTTTTCTGGAGTTTGTGTTGTTCTTCTGTCTCTCACTGTTCAAATAAACTTACCATTAAAATTATAGACTGATCATTTCTTTGTCAGTGGGCAAACGTACGCAATATGTTCAGGAGCCAGTATGCCAATGTCGAGATCTACCAGCCACGAGAGGGCTTCAGGAGGGTGTTGTGCAGTTTTGCTGTTCCTCCTCTGTCAACGGAGTGCAAACTGCAGTGGTTTACCATATATGGTCCATAGTTTGGGTGGCCACACTCGCACGACAGTCCTGGTGGCTTTTCTTTCATTTTCCCATTCATGAAGAAGATGTGCGGCAACGGCTTGTTGACATTCTGATGCGGTTGATGGTTAACACCCAGTGCCTTCTAGGGGGAATGTCAAAGCCAGGAGGAGGTGCGATGGTGCTTGGATATCGAATGAGCCCTTTTTTTCCGGATGTCCCGCGCTAGTTCGCCACAGTTATTCCCGAGATTGTAGGTTGTTCCATAGCGCGATCCCAGAGGCGAGGTTCACTGTTGACGTCTTGGTCGATGATGGGTATGTGGTTCTCGTTGGCTAAAACACTTAAAAAAAACACTCCCTCGCATTGTGTGATCACGTCTCTGCGCATATTTGCAGAGGAGTAGAATGGGGAAGTGGCGTCACTTGTGCTGTCCAGGGCGATGACGTGACGTCAGGCGCTTGGGGCAGCAGAGTGACGTCACGGCTCCTCAAGGATAAAAAGGGGACCCCGTGACGTAAGCGGGGTCGTAGCTGGAGAGTAGGGTCTGAGAAGGGTGGAACGGGGAGCCAGGGGCAAGAGGGTAGGGATAGGGGAGAACAGTGCAAGGCTAGACGTGGCTGTGCTCCTCGGTCGGCCGTGTTGGTTGATCCCACGGCCGGGGCAGAGGAGACAGCACAGGGCAGCCGGCTGTGTCGGAACCTAGCCCAGGACCCCTAACCCCTCGGGAGTTGTTCACCCGTGTATTGTTAAAGATTTGTAATAAAACCTTGGCGGAAGCCCTTACCTTACCTTAGCCTCCGAGTGAGTCGTCGGGAACTCCTTTACATATTTAATGACAGATTTCGCCAGGGCAGGGATCCAGGCAGAGGATTCGTGTTGGTGTCAGTGTTCCGGTTATGATGCACATCGCGTCAGTCAATTTTGCATCTGCATTTTTGTGTAAGAATTCCCGTGCAAAATTATACATTATTCTATGATGATGGGGAGGGGGGGTCATGGGGGGGAGGTGGTTGTTTCTCGTCCGTCATACATATTTGGGACTTCGTTCGTTTCTCAGTCCGCTTGCCCTGGTGAGGGCAACAGCGTGTTGGGTAGTGGCGGTGCAGACCTCCCTTTCCCTGGCGACAGACTCCAGCACCACTACATTATACACGACACCACTATACACTACTGTACAATATACACTGCTGTACAGAGACTCTAGCTCCTTCTGGGGAATTCTCAGGCGTTCCCAGGCCAGCTGAGCGACATCGTCCCGCCAGCAGTAGTCGCCTGGGCCGGTCCAAGTGGGACGTGCTGCTGCCCGGTAGAGTCCCAGGGGGAGTCTGCCGTGGGGGTTCCGTTCCAGGTGCCCGAATCACCTCGACGGGCTCCTCTCGATCCGGAGGGAGCAGCGGCTCGACTCGGAGCCTCTCCCGCACTACCGAGCTCGATCACGGAGAGTGAGGCCCGGCAACCCTGCGGAGAAACCTCATGTCGGCCCCTTGCGCCCGCGAGCTCATCCTTGGGGTCGTTAACCAAAGCTCATGACCATAGGTGAGGGTGGGAACGTAGATTGACCTGCAAACCGCGAGCTTTGTGCGAGAACTCAGCTCCCGCTTCACCACCACGGAACGGTGCAGCGCCCGCACCACCGAGGACGCCGCACGGATCCGCCGGCCGATCTCCCACTCCCCACCACTCGCGAAAGAGACCCCGAGGTACTTCAAACTCCTCCACGAAGGGCAATTAAAACCGGGTTCACAGTCGCCCCAAAGACAAAGATCCCCCGTATTGCCTTAACAGACTGTTGGGGAAAGCGCTGTTAGCGAGTAGCACCTATGCAGGCCGGTACGGCACACGAGGTGGGAGTGTGGGTGACCGGCACGGCACACGGGGGGGTGGGAGTGTGGGTGACCGGCACGGCACACGAGGTGGGAGTGTGGGTGACCCGGCATGGCGCACGGGGGTGGCCTGCACCACGCCCGTCCGCCTGTGCCTCCGCAGTGGCGACGTTGACAACACACCGCTGAGTCGGACGAGGGAAGGCCCGCGACCGGTACGGCTGCTCGTCACCGGTGTCGGGAATCGAACCGCGTGCGTGGCGAGTTCGCTCCGCGCGGCGCGCTGCGAACCCGCGCCCCGGAGCCGGCGTCCGGGTCGCGGTGTTTACGCTCGCGGGCCACGTGGCGCGCGAGCCACGTGGCCCGCGTACTTCCGCATCCAGCCACAGCTGGGGCCCAGCACCGCCCACCCACCCACCCAAACCCCTCCTTCCTGGTGCGCCACAACTTAAAACCCTTACCCCCTCCAAAAAAAAGATACAACAACAAAAACAACATCCGCTTCTTGCTAATTCACGGCGAAAATTGATGCAGATGATTGACGCGCGCGGTGCTGGACCCCCCCCCCCACGCAATTGTTTGTAGCGTGCGTTTCTTAGTGGGGGGAGGGGAGGGGGTGAGAGTGGGGAGGGGGGGAGGTTCCCCACCCCCGAGTGTGGTGACGTCACGGGCCGGGTCCCTGGGATTTAAACGCGGGAAGTGAAGTTTGGCGGGAGGTCGCCGCCGTTGCCGCTGCCGCAATACCGCGGGCTCGTCTCTCGCGCTCGCCTTCACGTGCGCGTAGGTCAAGTCGCATTATCTGCTCAACAGCGATTACTTCGTCGCAGATGTGTGTTTTTTTCTGTGGTAGTTGTTATTAATGGTGGGTAATTAACGCTCTTGCTGCTGCTGCCTCCGCCGCTGTTGCTGGGTTAACAATGGCCGGAGTGTGTGTTGAAGCAAGTGGTGGGGGGGGATCGTCGTTGGATTTTGTTAAAGCAAAGTCACATCTACGTTGAGCGATACTTAACTTGTATTATAAATGCAAGGGTTGTGATGGATTTAAACAACAGCGTCCGTTCAGAGCGTGCTGTGTTTAGCAGCTGCCACCGGTAAAGCGTTGCCTAAGAAGCCCGTGACAGCTGTTGGTGTCGCAACAAGCGGCGACGCTTAATCTTGGCGAAGAAGCGGTTGGCTTCATTCCTTCTTAGCTTAATAAGTAATTCACTCGTCTGCTCAGTATGTAATCGGTTATTTGGCTAATTTAGTCGTTTAATTTCACGTCGATTACCCGCGCCCTGTCTCAGGGCCGCGTGTGCCTTGTATCGAACCACGGCCGTCTGCCTTCACGTTGGCGGGTAAAGCCTTTTGACGAGATGTCTGCGCCTGCTTTGTGCTAAGTTTACGAACGTTACTTATCCCCGCGATATATCGTCGTCGTCGTCGTCAACGGTGCCACTAAATGTTGTTGTTTTGGAGGGAGACGGGGACGGTATCGGCGGCGTTCGCAGTCGCGCCAATTACTCTGGAGCGAAGTTATTGCGCCAAAAAATTACCAGGCGCTAAGGCCGGTCCCGCGGCTCGTAATACGTCAACTTAATTTTACATCCACAAATATACCGAACAAGTGACGATCTGTAGCAGCGTCGGGACTTTGTCTGCCCCCGTTGTAGTTTTGTGGCATTTGTAGATGTTATTTTAAAGTGAAGTTGTCGACTTGTGTGGGAGCGCGGGCGGGCGGGCGGGCGGCCTGGTGACGTGTGGAGCGCTGTGGCCTTACAGACGGTGGACGCTGTGTGCGCATTAAAATATCATCAGAACTCTGTAGATATACATACCCCCTCACGGATGTGTAATTTACCCAGGTACTGATGAGGGGGTCGTGCTCGCGAATGGTGTCTGTGTGTGTGTGCGCGCGACAGGCGGGGTTGCTCGAGAATTCGCTCGGAGTGGATGAAAAAAAAGTGGGGCGACATTTTCCGAACTAGGATGAGGAAGGGGAGAGAGAGACACGGGAGCGAGTTTTACTGGGCGTATAATAATAATATAGCGATACAGAACCGTCATAACAATTGGGGTGATATTTTTGTGTGTGCATCTTTTAATGTACAGGCAACAATCTGAGTATGCACGTCTGCTTGCAAGTCGGTGAAGATCCGATGAAAGCTAAGAGACAGAAGACCGAAGAGAATGGGCCCTTCATTTTGCGTGCGAGGAGGAGGAAAGTGAGTGGCGCTGAAATGTAACACTACTCGCCATTTCCTTCCAATATTTATATCAATGATTATTTGTAAAACTTTGTAATATGACCAAGAGTTTGTGTGTGTGTATGCCATACCGAGCTTCAGTCTCAACCAGACTGACCAATTACATTTTACTCTGGCTGTAATCAGTCTCGCCAAACGAGAATTACGATTTTTGAGCCATATCACCATGCACCTCGGGAACTTTCATTTTATCGGCTACCAAGGGATGGTGATCATATTGAGTGAGCTTGCCTTTTTTATTAGAACTTGTGATATCACAATTGGGAACCTACTGCTCTTAAAGCTGAGCTATGTAGTATACTGGCATTTTTTTGGGGACAGTACTCTATTGTTATACGTATATACTCCAGCCTTCATCAACTTTGGTTGCCAGTACATGTGGTCAAATAACCCAAGCTACCCGCATGGTGTGGAGACGCCCTCATCTTGCTGTGGATTGACAAAGGGCTGTAGATAAAGGTGTACAGTACTGTTATTAGCTTATGTTCTCTAAAAAGATAAACGTGCAGTCATGCAATATCTTTCCCACACCACTGCTGGTGTAAGGGCCTCCACACTTAGTGGGTGCTCTAGAGTATGTTGGCCTCCATTTGCATGCTGGTGGATTCTTTGAAACAAGTGGGGGTTGCCCACACTTGCCCGCACCATGTGCGACCTGCCGATCGACCGACCCATTTATACTGCTGGGTGAGATATAAAAAATAACTTGCCCATGGTTTCAACTGCTGCACCGTGAGATCAAATAACACCGGAGACCTGGATTGTAAGTCCCAATGTGCAAACCATTACACCACGACAGCATCCCATGTGTTGGAGTATGTAATGTGACCACATGGGATATTTTGCAGACCCCACCAAATCACAGGACACAGCACACTCAACAGGACCATGGTGAAGTGAAGTCCTTGGAAATCCAGGTGAAGATGCATGGTGTTTGGTGTCTTGTTCTCATTCTTTCTGGAGTTGCATATTGGTTCACGATTTGGTTTGTCTTTCCCAAAGCAAATTAACGTCAAATACAGCCAATGATGTTTACTGTATTTTTGCATGCATATAAACTGTTGTCAATGTCCATGTACCATGGGGGTTATATGACCATACTTCACAATGGTCAGTGCAGGTTCGTGAAGGCAGGGTATGTCTTAAAAGTACTGTAGTACTGGGGACATTATTATACGTTTTTATGTATGTCCGATTAGCATGGTTGGCTGTGTACGGTGCAAAATAACTTAAACACATAAAGCGATGCTAACGTTTTTGTCTGAAGTTTTGAGGAAGCCTTGGATAATTCCACTGAAGTAAAAGCACCCGTCCTGTTTCCTGGACAGTTTTAATATGATTAATTTATTATATTAAATGACTGCTGATTCTACAACTACAGAAAGCTTTACTTATTTTGCTGCACCTCTTGATAATTGATCGTTATGATTTCAAAGGAAACTACCACAGTACATTGCGGTAATATTCCATGTGCCGTTGGTGTTAAAATAATGGATGGGACCCTATTTTTGTTTCACAACTATACAGTGCTTAACAACTTGAGAGAGGGGGGGGGGTTGAGAGCCTGACTAATGAATAATGGACTGGACTGCCCTGTAGGCATGTGTGCCGACATGTGTTTGCCCTACTAACATCACAATGAAACAGAACAGGTGTGCGCAGTGGCTTGCAGTTGGGCCTCCTGTTTAAGCAATTAGACTTTCGTATGACTAACTCATTGTTTTTTAAACGCAATTATGCTGCAGTGAAACTCCGATTATCGCCTTCGACATGGGGGGACACTGATAGTGGATAGTCTTTTCTCCGTGCCGATGTGTAAAAATAATTCGAGATATTCGCACAGTTCTCCATGGATAATAGGATTTATTTATTATCACTATCTTGCAACAATGCAAATATAATAATTGCTTTTTTATCTGGCAACAAAACTGACACCTTTTTTACAAGGAGTCATGTTTGGTATTTTGGCATTGACCACAACACCATGCGAGACGAGGCTCTAAGGAAAGCTGTCTCGGGTGTGGACCAATCAATTTCAAGGACAGTGCATACGTTATCAGAGTTATGTTTTATGTTTACATTCCGACCGCAGGTATTGTCAGTTTTGTTGCCATATAAAAGGGTAAAAACCCAATTATATTTTGCTACTGGCAAAGGATGTTCCAATGGAATAATGCAAATATAATTAATTAATATCTTGTGGGATACCACTTAAAATCTTATTTTAATTCACATCACTTTGTCAGTCTCATAATTGATGGCCATGCCAGTCATTGTTTTTTCATTCTTCACGCCGTTCACTGGGTTGCTTTGCATGCGGTACCAGGACCAGTTCAGATGTCATTCTTTGATTATGTTTTTCCGAGACCAGTCATCTAGCTTGTCTTACCAGCTTAATAGCTGAGTACGCTAACCACTTCCCCGCCACGTGAATAGGATGACATTGCCACAAATTCTGGGTCATTCCTCCTTTATCTGCAAAAGTGTGGAAAATAGGAAGAATCTATTTGTGAATACAGGCGTGTCTCAACGAGCGAGATACGTTCGGTGAAAACGTATCGGTAAGCGAAAACTCGTGAAACGATTGTCGTTTTCTCATTGACTCCCATGTTAAAATCTGAGTTATGTTTCAGCCCCTAAATTTTCCATTCTTGAACAACTTTAATGTTTTATTACTTTAAAATTATGATTTTAAAGTAATAAAACATCAATTGCACCATTTTAAGAACCACTGCTTGCAGATGCCTGTCTTCAGCATCTGCAATTAATTGGGGCTGCCTCTCCCACCCATTAGTGCCACATCGAGGCTGTCCTCCCCATAATATGAAATACGTGAGCACGCAGTCCAGGAGCACGGTAAACAAACGGCTGTGGGCTGCTGTACTCGCCTTGCCAACACGGAATGCATACGCTGGATTGGTCTCCGCTAGCTATGCGGACATTTTGCGAATAAATTAGTCTAAATTTAAGTGGCTGTTTATAGCGGAGTTGAGTTATTTATCTGTAAATTAGAGAAGACTTCAACAACATGTCTGTAGCCCTCTGATCTGCTTTTGGGTTATACTAAGAGTTAAACGGCACAAATTCAAAAATCTCCACTGTACCCCATGGCTGTGTTTTTTGTTTTTCATACATGCCTCTCTGTGCTGCTCTCAGTCATGCTGGGATGGTGCGGTCTCGGCCAACCCTGGAGCCTGCCGTCTTGTGCTGACGCCACAAAAAGAGAATGAGGACTGTACTCCTCCGGCCGGCACGCGCTTTGACCAGTGCCGCCTCGCAAACCTCTTCCTAACCTCCAGCAGGCCGTGTCCGCAGCTCATCCTCAGGTAGAGCTCCTCACTCCAAATGTCTGCAACCCCTTGCGTAGACCGTATATGTATGTCAATGTTGCTTAAATTGCCAGTAGTCCATCTTCATTGCTGAGCAGTTGCCAAACCATGTGCACTATCTAATGAGAGATAAGTGGTGAAGGTTCTAAATATAGAAACCTGTACCCCAATGTGGATGCTGTAACTGTAGGAGAAAACATTGGCGCATTGTAATAGTTATATCAGCCACGTTGGCACCACGGCCATAATCCCAGAACTTTGTGTAGGCAAAGGTTTGTGAATCGTGCGGAATTGAGCTGTGAATGGCATGAAATGACAGCACAGTAAATAGGTTGTGAACCCATATGGACCTTGGTGTGTTAGCCCCTTGCATGCATGGGTATTTCCCCATGTACTCTGCTTTTCATCTGCATTTAAAACAATAATAATGGATTTGCCACTGAAAAGGAGTCTTGATTCCCAGGTGAGACTTTCCTGGGTAAATAAATGGCATTAATATTATGCAGCTGTCCTGACCTATAAAACCTGCTGCTCACAGGCTACTCTTAAGATAAGGGCAAGCATTTATAGATAGTGACTTTAATTAATATATAATACTATCGAACCTGGATTTATATCACTTCTGTATTGCTATTTGAGATGTATCACATCCCAATTAAAACAATTTTACTTGAAGCAGGGCACGGAATCGACAGAACAGATGGTTGGGGTATGGGAGTTATAGAAAATTGGAGTAGCAAAATTGGTGTTAGCATCTTTTTGCATTTTCTCAGCATGGTCAATGGTGGGGAGATTTGGTCGAGCCTCCTGGAGAGAGAACAACTGTACGTACGGGACAGAGATTTTTTCAAACACCATCTGTCGCTGGAACCAAAGATGCGAGCCATCCTCCTGGATTGGCTGACTGAGGTGAGGGTACTGCAAGCTGTCTCCTTAATGCATTCACCAGAGCACTAGAGCAATAGGTCGGTTATTAGTACTTGTTATTTTGGTCGCTTAGCCTTTTGGGCGGTTGGGTCATGACTGTTAATCAATATCTCTTTGCAATGCCTTTTCAACTACTGTCCCGTAAACTGCATTTTTTCAACTGACCAAGTTGCCATCCCATCAAACGTTGAATGTTTGACATCCAGTTGGATCGTGGTCATCCTCTTGCCCTAGAACCTCAGTGTTAGTTGCAGTTGCCCACTTCTCACAAGGTATAGTTTGTCTATATCAGGCGAGGGAAACTTACATCCCACGTGCTGTATTCAGCCCCACACTTTATTTTATATGGTTTGCATGCAGATAAGCTCACCCATTTGAAACCCCTATAAATTATACTTATCCATCACTGCAAACATTTCGGCCCCACTAAATGGTTTCTAGAGTAATATTTTCGATCTGGCGACACTTGTTTCTAATTTTAGCATGCTTGGGTCACCTGCTGTCTTGCAAGTACTTCTGAGCACACAGACACTGCTTAAATTCCTAGTGTGATAAGTTTAGTGTTAAATGGTGCGTGGCCCACCAAAAGCATTTGAAAAATCGTATTTTGCCCTCTTTAGTGTAAGGCGCCCTCCCGCATTACGTACTTTCGCTACAACGTACTCAACTTATTGCTACCCAATCCCGTTTTTAACATACTGTGTACCTTGCCATAACGTACTTTGGATTTACGATCTTAACCATTAAGCCCTAATTTTTTTTACTTTGCCTGGTGAACATTCAGGTGCCAGAGGGTGCCCATGCGTTTGTCTCTGACTGGCTATACTGTAGTCTCTTTCATGTTCTCTATTAATAGTTTATTCTCCCACGTACTGTATTTTCACATGCGAGACAACAATAATACATCGTATAATTGACAAGGTAATATATATTTTAATATAATAATATACACCTACTTTTCACACCGGTTGTACAGTATAGGTACGCAATGGGTAACTGAGGATCCTCTTAGGTGAACTGTACCACGTTATGATCCACCAATCCAATCTCTTTGCTTCGATTTAAGTACTTTCGATTTATATTTTAGTTTTCAGAAACTCGTGCGTCCTGGGCGTAATGCCCGTGTGTATATATATATATGGAGTGCCGTTAAACGGATCTTGTGTTGGTGTAGGTGTGCGAGGAGTACAAGATGCACAGGGAGACCTTCTACCTGGCACAGGACTTCATCGACCGTTACATGTCCACCCAGAACGATGTCGGAAAGTCTCGGCTTCAGCTCATCGGCATAACTGCTCTGTTCATCGCGGCCAAGGCTGAGGTAGCTATTCATGTTGATTTTTATTTGGTTGGTCAAGAAGCATACGATTCACATTTTATATCAGCTAAGTAAGATAGCAGGACAACTGAGATGAGGGTACACAGTCTACTGTATCGTTCCATGAGTATACCCCGAATTCTGATACCGCTCAGCCGCACAGCTCCAGAAAGTAGTTAGTCGTCGACAGTTCAGAAACCACGTTTAAACGGGCGCATTTTCGCGTTGTGCGAAAAGTGTTCTCTTGTAGAAGAGCAGTATTATAGCAAAAACGTGTCGTGTGAACATGCATTAAGCAAGGACATGCTGTACAGAAATGTGTAATAGAAGGTGATCCACTTATACATACCGCTCTTAAATAATGACCACATTATATAAACGTTTTATTTCACAGCCTCTGTCTCCCGCCAATATAAATATGCTTAGACCATATTTTAACACTCCTTAGTAAGATGTGGAGCCATTGCTTTCAGATTATTAAATCAACTATTAAGAAGGGAATTATTAGAAATCCGTGTGATATCTCAATAAATGGATAGCCCTGTATTCATACCATTTATGTAAATGCAGTGTTCTATATCCTCACACACATGTTTCCCTTTAGGAAATGTATCCACCCAAGTTGGTGGAATTTTCCTATATAACAGACGGCGCCTGCAGCGAAGATGAAATTATCCTTATGGAGCTTCACCTGCTGAAGGTAACTGATGAAGAGGGGATGAGAGCTCAGCAGGGATGGATTCAAAATCCACTGCAGTACTGCCATCTCTTAGCAACCCTGTGCTCTACACCTGGTTTCCCAGGCAGTCTCTCATCCAAGTAATAACCAGGGTCAATCATGCTAAACTTGTGTGGTTACGATACAAATGAATGTATTGCCTGAAATGTTTTGCTCTTTATATCCGCAGGCATTGCAGTGGAATTTGTGTCCCATTACTTTAAATTTCTGGCTCAACTTCTACATGCAAGTGGCCACAATCGCTGATGACCAACACCTCCTCGAACCACAGTTCTCACGGGAAGATTTTGTACAGAAAGCCCAGGTCTGAACTGAAGCTGCCTGCGTTTGCATGTCAATGCCCACACCTAATTTTTCCGCACCTCCGATTGACATGGTTGGCTCGATTGGCATGGTTGGCTACGCGCGGTGTGAAAGAAGTTCAGCATACATGCCATCTCGTGTAAATGCCTGCTCAAGGGATGTCGGCTGTATTTGAGAAACTTGACACAGATGGTTTTTAATGCATATGTACCCAACGTTCCAGATAAGGTTTTGGAGTAGTTTAGCTTACATTTGTAAACTTTAAGATGTATTTTAAGAAGGCAATTATGCTTTAAAGTCATGAGTCATTTTCATAAGTAGTGTACAGTCTTTAATGGTCTGCAGTATGCATTAACTGGAACCTTACATTTTAATTGAATGGTTGCTTTGAATTTAAAGCACTGGTCTTACGCTAAAGACAGTACCTAGTCTTTCTCATACAGTGAGGGGAAAAAAGTATTTGATCCCCTGCTGATTTTGTACGTTTGCCCACTGACAAAGAAATGATCAGTCTATAATTGTAATGGTAGGTTTATTTGAACAGTGAGAGACAGAATAACAACAAAATCCAGAAAAACGCATGTCAAAAATGTTATAAATTGATTTGGATTTTAATGAGGGAAATAAGTATTTGACCCCTCTGCAAAACATGACTTAGTACTTGGTGGCAAAACCCTTGTTGGCAATCAGAGGTCAGACGTTTCTTGTAGTTGACCACCAGGTTTGCACACATCTCAGGAGGGATTTTGTCCCACTCCTCTTTGCAGATCTTCTCCAAGTCATTAAGGTTTCGAGGCTGACATTTGGCAACTCGAACCTTCAGCTCCCTCCACAGATTTTCTATGGGATTAAGGTCTGGAGACTGGCTAGGCCACTCCAGGACCTTAATGTGCTTCTTCTTGAGCCACTCCTTTGTTGCCTTGGCCGTGTATTTTGGGTCATTGTCTTGCTGGAATACCCATCCACGACCCATGTTCAATGCCCTGGCTGAGGGAAGGAGGCTCTTCACCCAAGATTTGACGGTACATGGCCCCGTCCATCGTCCCTTTGATGTGGTGAATTTGTCCTGTCCCCTTAGCAGAAAAACACCCCCAAAGCATAATGTTTCCACCTCCATGTTTGATGGTGGGGATGGTGTTCTTGGGGTCATAGGCAGCATTCCTCCAAACACGGCGAGTTGAGTTGATGCCAAAAAGCTTCATTTTGGTCTCATCTGACCACAACACTTTCACCCAGTTGTCCTCTGAATCATTCAGATGTTCATTGGCAAACTTCAGACGGGCATGTATATGTGCTTTCTTGAGCAGGGGGACCTTGCGGGCGCTGCAGGATTTCAGTCCTTCACGGCGTAGTGTGTTACCAATTGTTTTCTTGGTGACTATGGTTCCAGCTGCCTTGAGATCATTGACAAGATCCTCCCGTGTAGTTCTGGAATGATTACTCGCCGTTCTCATGATCATTGCAACTGCACGAGGTGAGATCTTGCATGAAGCCCCAGGCCGAGGGAGATTAACAGTTCTTTTGTGTTTATTCCATTTGCGAATAATCGCACCAACTGTTGTCACCTTCTCACCAAGCTGCTTGGCAATGGTCTTGTAGCCCATTCCAGCCTTGTGGACGTCTACAATCTTGTCCCTGACATCTTTGGAGAGCTCTTTGGTCTTGGCCATGGTGGAGAGTTTGGAACCTGATTGATTGATTTCTTCTGTGGACAGGTGTCTTTTATACATGTAACAACCTGAGATTAGGAGCACTCCCTTTAAGAGTGTGCTCCTAATCTCAGCTCGTTACCTGTATAAAATACACCTGGGAGCCAGAAATCTTTCTGATTGAGAGGGGGTCAAATACTTATTTCCCTCATTAAAATGCAAATCAATTTATAACATTTTTTGACATGCGTTTTTCTGGATTTTGTTGTTATTCTGTCTCTCTGTTCAAATAAACCTACCATTAAAATTATAGACTGATCATTTCTTTGTCAGTGGGCAAATGTACAAAATCAGCAGGGGATCAAATACTTTTTTCCCTCACTACATGCTCAAGCTGTGCATCAACATTGCTTTGTGTTTTATTATGTATTACATCTTATTGGAATTTAAATTAGGTTATGCATTGATTTCCCATTTCGTTGCTTATCTGGAGCACAATGTCAATGAAATTAAATTACATTGTGGTTTGTGTTTATCCCAGCTGCTGGACCTGTGCATACTGGATGTGGGTTGCCTGGAGTTCTCCTATAGTGTCCTGGCTGCATCCGTGCTCTTTCATTTCTCATGCCAGGAGCTAGTGCAGAAAGTTTCGGGTATGTGATAGCATCACACTGCATATTTGAAACTTTATATTTGAATAGTGTCAGTAAAATTCCTGTGATTTCTTACCATATTTCTGAGTGGTAGACTTGGTTATGCTGCCAAATACCTTTTTGAGAAAGCTCTATCCATGACTTGGATATGATTGTTTATTTTTGGCGTGGAGAGGGTATGGAAATTAGGGAAAGCTATGTGTGTTAACCTATTTGGCATGTGAATAATTATTCCTGCTACAAGTGGATTCTTATGCCTATAATATATGTTATTATTTCAGCCTCCTTTGATTAATGATCACACTGCATCTTAAATGTGTGCCTCAAGAGGGTTTTTAAAAAAGAGATTTGAATAGCAAATGTTAAATTGTTTAAATGTAAACACCAATGCGCTTGCAAGTGTAATCTCGGTGACATGTTAATGGATGTATATGAGTGTACTATACAGCCAGATTGCCATTCATCACAATGAATTGTCATTTGGGTTCTTTAAATTTGCCAGTATTTTTTTACACTGGTGACAAACACCTCTCACAGTTGCAAGAAGCAAGTAAATTCATTACATATAAATTTGAGCTTTTGGCTAAAAGACCCGGAATGCTAAATGGAGTAGATCCTACATAGTACTTAGATGGGTGTCCGCGTATGACAAAATCGCAATGCACGTGGTGGGCAGCAGAGGTCGGTGAGGAAGAATCCATTTGTTTTTCTGTGATTCTTACTCCCATGTCTACGATTCTCACCTGCAACCCACCCTGCCCAACATGGTGATTTGTGCTGAAATAACCCCATGACCCACATGGCATGGGGATGCCATCAAAAGACTACTTGTAAACAAATTAAAGTCATAATTTCTTACACTCTCAATTATACCGTGTGAGCATCGCAATTGCTGCACCATCGCATGCCCACAGTAGAGTAAATGCATTGCGCTTATGACCCAGGGCTGCGTTGGGACGAGCTGGAGGAGTGTATACAGTGGACGCTGCCGTTCGCCATGGTGATGCGCGAGTCTCCACGGGCAACGCTCAAGAGTTTCAAGAACGTGCCAGAGGAGGACCAACACAACATCCAGACGCACTCAGTCAGCATGCTGCTGCTGGTGGGACCCTGCATACACCCATGTCTCAATTTGTTTTCCTCTGTCTAATGGTTAGATACTACGAGGTCACATCTTGGAGGTTGCCTGTCTGCTGAGGCAATCTAGATTTTATAGTTTTGTCTCTTCAGTCTGCTGGGCACATGGGCCACAAGCAGTGTGGAATATTCCATCTTCACTCACAAATAGAATTTTGCTAACTTATTACTATTACAAGATTCTGAAAAGAAGACCTTACGACTTGGGCTTTCTTTGGATTGTTATACGACAACTGCTAATCCAGTAACCGTTGGTACCATTAACTACACCAGTTCTACGTCTTGAAAACCAGCAACAATTGTTGTGAAATGTTAGCAATGAATGCACCAAAATGTATTCTCGTGCCGGATTCTGAATCTATGTATACCTTTCACTCGTTCATTACTATGGTATACATGTAGGTGCCGGTACCTTACACACAGATACATATGGAGATATTGACAGGGAAAGGTACAGTACAAATACAGAGATGGAGAGAGACTGAAGCACAGACACATGTCCAGACGTTTGTCAGTACGAGTGTTCACGAACACCTTCTGCTCTTCAAAGACCGATACCCCCCACAGATACTGAAATGCGCCTTCACTTATCCATGATTTTTCACGAATAAGTGTCAATGCCTGCTAAATGACAGCAAATATCTGTGGTTTATCCATGGCTATTGTCTGATGCCTTTCCTGGTGTGCACAACGCATCATTACTAAGATTTATCTGTGATTTGTTTTGGTTGATGAGCGAAGTCGTGTGGCAAATTAATTCTCTTGTCTGCAACTATTGGCAAAGCTTTTTTTTGTTACCCATGAATAAGAGTAAATTTGGTCTCCTACATTACTGCGGATAAGAGTAGTTCACCTGAAGTCTGCAAGTCAATTGTTAACCATAACGCTCAAACAGCTCCACATTCGTCAATAACACTGGACTTTAAAGAAAATATGTACAGAAATGGGCAACGTTTGGCCAATGGCTCTTCGTAGCACATGATAACAAAAAGACATACGATAACAAAGACAAACGCAGGGCAAGTTTATGTTTGTTCCACATTTCTGCGTGCGGTAAACCGGTTACTGGTTTTATACCAGTTTTTGCAATGTGGTTATTGGTAATAACCCCAATTCTATAGATTTTATGTATACCTTGCAAAATAATCGTGCATTTGTCTTTATAGAGCCCCAATTTACAAGGGGCCTTCGTGCAATAGTTTATCTATTGCTCTAAATTGTATATAGGCTTCGATTTAAAGCTTGCGTGACTGCAGGATTTCATCTTGGTTCTTTCGGTAAAGTCACGTAGAATGGAGATGAAAATAAAATAAAAATTCTCACGACGTTTTGGCCACAACACAAGTAGCCTTCTTCAGGTGAAGAAACAGGACTGTCAAGAAGATGGCGCTAGAGTGAGCACTGTCAAGCAAGGGCCGCGTCTTTTAAGCTCTGTGAACTGGCATGTTACCCAACTCCGGAGGTAATGAGAGGGGGGGGGGCCCAAGTGATGATAGGGGGGCGCCACCCCCTCTCATCACCTCCGGAGTTGGGGTTGGATAACTTGCCAGTTCACACAGCTTAAAAGACGTGGCCCTTGCTTGACAGTGCTCACTCTAGCACTGTCTTCTTAACAGTCCTGTTTCTTCACCTGAAGAAGGCTACTTGTGTTGTGGCCAAAACGTGATAATTTTTATTTTCTGTTTTATTTTTATCTCCATTCTACGTGACTTTACCGAAAGAACCAAGCAGAAGTATATAGGCTTTCAATGATATTACTATATTGCAGTAACTATAGAGAATACTCAAGTGCAAAATGTTTCCATTCTTTATCGGTGATTCATTTATACAAATATAAAATTGTACCGTCCTTTTCACACCTTATGTGCTGTAGGAAAGAGCACAAGCCCTGCAGCTCGAGTTGAGCAGATCATCGCAGGAAGCTTCACCACTGTGCATGCTTCTCACTCCACCCAACAGCAACAAGAAGTGATGCCGCCTCCCATTGTGAGCTTCGAGGAAGTCTTGGACAACTGGAAAATAAAATGGTCTCCCACAGCAGCCTTGTCCATAGCTAACAACCAGTATTATTTTTGTATCACACTAAGGTAAAGTAAAATCCTCTGGGGTGGTTGTGGATGTGCGTGTTTATTTCAATGCACGTCAGTGCATGATATCATAGATTATTTTCAACTACTAAACTATATTGTAAGAAATGAAAAAATGTAAAGCAATATGTATGATGTCAAAATTAAACACGCTAGATACCGTGATAACATGTTTCAAGATTAAATGTACGTACCAGCATTGATTTTGATTGTCAATACATTTTCTTTGTATGATCAGAGGGAAAATAGAATAGCTTTGTATACACGTACATGTTTCGTCGAAGCACATGTTGAAAGCACTGATAATCTGTTGAATTAAACATACCCAAGACAAGTTTTATTTTAAAGTTCAGTATTTTATTTCATTGAAGGTTTTAAAAGACTTTCAGGCTTGTATGTGGGGAATTGCTGCATATTCAACAGTTTGGGGATATTTCATGAATTTAAGTAAATGTAATGTATACGTGGCTCTTGAATATTAAGTTAATATGAATCGATATGCACAATGAATTTGCATTATTTTAGAATTTTTAACAAGTGCTGAATGAAGTGCAAAATCATGGTCACTTTGTTTTAAAGATGAGCATTACTGCCATGTGTTTATTTGAGTGCTTTGCTTTTTATTAAATCTGTAAATGTTACATAGTTTTAAATTGCTTCATGTCAATCTTTAACAAAAATCATGTATTTGTTTTTCTTAAGGAGGTAGTGCTGCTTGTAAGAAATGTGGCGTTTGCAAATGGGGTTGAGAGGTGCATATTGGGTTAAGCCTGGGCATTGGACAGTGGATGTGTGCCATCTGTGGAAACTGAAATATATAACAGTTTTGTGAGATTTATGAAAATGTGCTTGAATATGAAAAATAAAATGTTTTGGTAGAGAATTTCGTACTCAAGTGCTTAATTTACGAATTTTTTTCAGTCCACCACTCGACCGTTGCGCTGAGGATGTTGATTTACTCTTCAACACACCGGTGGGCTAAAGCAGTGAAATATTTGTCCTTTGTAAACGTGACATTTTTTACTTTGGCCGTGTCGGGTGGTGGAGGGTTACGACACATTTATAAATAATGCGATCTAACCCAAAAAACACCTTTTATTATGAATCAATGAATGTACTTTATCTAACAATTCCCATTCACAAAAGCCTCAAGTCTCAAGGCCATTTTTGGACGATCATGCTTTGAGATGTTTTGGCCAGTTCCATTACTCGGTGGCATGTGAGAGGAAACTGAAGTACCCAGAGAAACACGCAGAGGGGGATGACACTCAGTTTGTAGAGATGGTTTCAACTCGTGCCATCTGGTGACCTTTCAGTCCCAGCTTACAACACCTGGCATTCAATCTCCCATCCAAGTACTAACCATGCTCAACCCAGCTTAGCTTCCGAAATACGACTAGAATTATAGTTCATAATGATTTGTTACCAAAATCACAGGTGACTTAAACTAGGGTCTTAATAGACGACAAACAATGTTGACTTAAAGCTTACTGCAGGAATTCATAACTACGACTTTTCGATCGCAACACAGGCAATCGTCATCAAGAAAAAATAAAAACGTAGTTATCTGTAGTTTTTGATTATTTTATTTGAACATATCTACGTGATTTTACCGAAAGACCCAATGTATCGATAATTTAATGTTTTATTACACTGCATAACATTAGAACCCTTTGGAATACAAAGTGCAGTCCTGTACATTGTAAGTAACAGGACCTACGTAACCAACGACGACATGCCACTGGAAGTTGTGTAAGAAGCACCCCTTGTTTAAATCTCACGATTGAAAACAATACCATGTGTGTTGCACAATGTGCAAAGAGGGACACAGTTGGATACAATTCATCATTTATCTCAGAAATTTAAGGATTATGCAGGGTAATTTATGAATACTACACTAAAATACTAGGCGGGAATTATACATTGCATAAGCCTCTCCCAATCGCCATGCATGGTGTTACATGTGTTAACACTAATCTCTTCTGTAAAGATGGTGCATTTGTTCTTAACACTTAGCCCGGCTAGCCAAGGGTTTACTGTACAGTATTCAATCACCTGTTGTGAAAAAAGAGGGCCATTTGAAATCAGTGGGGCATTTAAACATGCATTTATTTGGCTGCTATACATTTACACGTGATAAGCCACTTCGTTGAGCTATCGTGGCCAGGTCGCTTCTGAAAAAGAAGCTAATAGCTCAGTGGGCTTTACCTGGTAAAAAAAAGTTTAGTTTGAGATGTTAACTACCTCTTGCCTGGTATACAGGGGGCCGTGAGTTCGAACCCGTCCCCGACGCCTGCTGATGTATATTTGGAGTTTGTGGTGTTTCTATAATCCGGGTCTTCCGGTTTTTGCATCCACATGTAGAACCAACATCACGTGTTTAGAGTATTTGGCTCCTGTTATAAATTTCCACGCGATAAGCCACTTCGTTGAGCTATCATTTGTGATAACCAGGTCGTTTCGGAAACAAGAGCTAGGTCGCTGAGTGGGCCTTTACCTGGTAAAATAAAAACATTGTTGAGTTTGTGTGCGTGTGTCTTTGCCCCATGTGGAATGTTATCAACAGTGGGAGGGACGGAGGGTGGGGGCTCAGGTGTGTGCCCACCACGGGTGACGTCACCCACGTGATGCGGGTTGCAACACGCGTGCTCACGTCACCTGTCAACGGCCTCTACATTCCCCAGTTCACACGCGCACGCGGGGAGAAACCCCGCCTCACCATCCCTACTCCTAACTCTCATGTTCCCTCACCAACCTTCTCATCATTTCCTCATCCATACCTCAACCCCCTTCACCTCACACCAACGAAACCCTGACATTCCCCTCGAAACACCCCTCACACCAACCCCCTGAGCCCACTCTCCCCCCCCGCCACTCATCCACGCTACGGAATCTAAACACCCTCCCTCTCACGTGACGTACACTTCCGCCATTGCCGAGACGCGGAAGAGCGAGCGCGATCACCCCGTGTGGCTACTTGGTTCTCCTGGACGTCTCTTAGTTCTTCAGATGGCGTCGACACCGACTCTGCAGGTACTGGCTGCTGCGCCGGCCGCGCGCTTACCTCCCCGCTCGCCGCGGCTGCCCCGAACGCGGTTGCGAGCGTTCGGCCCCTACCCCGAAGCATTCTGTTTGGGCGATGGCCCGGAGGCCTAGTTGGGCCTGTGGCACCTACGCGTTGCCTAGATTTTTTTACCCCGGCAAGGAGCTCCGAGGCCGGCGAGCGGCGCTAAGCGGAACGGCCACTCCCGCGCTTGGGTGTCGTAGTGAGGCTAATGTCAAAACAAGTATCGGATAAGATTTGCTGCGTGTGTGTCGTGTGGTTTTTGAAGTTGGGAAATATCAAAGTCCTTAGCATATCATAGCTATGAGACGTGGTGTGTTTACTGGGCAGTGCTCGACGGATGCGACTTTTACATTAAACGAATGTAGCTCAGACGTCTGTGAAAAGGAGCTTCATAGCGCATAGAATTCCTCGAGTATGGATACAAATCATTCTGACCTACACGCGTATACACCAACATTTAAGAGGCTCATTTCGTTGTCAGCCATTTGTCGAGCTATTGGTAGGAAAAGGAGTCTCTACGGTCCTGTTGATGGCACACTTCACGTAGCCGTTACAGATGAGTTGATCTCAAGGCGCCATCTCTGCGGCAACTCTCCTCCTCTCGGGCTCGTCGGTCCATCAACCACGACCCCCCCTCACCATGTGCATTGCCCAAGTCCACGGTTTAAAAGTCAATATAACGTCACTGACTTGTGATTGTTGACCGGATCCATGCTCTCTTAATTTTTCTGTCTGTTTCGTGGAATTCCAACTATACATATCTCCACCTAAGTTAGAAGATGTCGAACAACGAGATACCCTTGATAGTAGAATATATTTCCCATGAGTTAGATTTCAGAAAATTAGGAATAATGAATGTTGAAATTGTCAACGTCTCACATTTGCTGATGGCAGTCCATACAACAACCGATTGCAATTACAGCGGACTATGGAAGCACTTAACTAAGACTACAAAGTGAGATTGATTATGAATGTAAGTAAATTAAATGTCATATAAAACAGGTTTCCAGATTAAAAGGGAATAATAATTGTCAGGACACAATTGGAAGAGTTTTTAGGGCAATTATCGAAGACAGGTGGGATAAAAATGATGACATAAAGGTAAGAAAGGACAGGAATTTCCTTTGGTTACTAACATTTTATAATGAAAAGCAGTGTTCTAAAAGTAAGTTTCCAACTAGTGTGTGTTCCCGAACATGACTGAGAGATATGGACATTGACAGAAAATGGGGGAAAGAAAGGTACGAATAATTAAAACTGCATAAAGATCGACGGAGGATGCATGTTGGGATTTACACTCGGAAACAGGAAGATAAATATAGTCATCGGGGAACTCGTGCAAATTGAACATAATTACCGTGAAATAAAGTAGGCATACTTGGGTAGGGCACATCGCTAGAAGGGGTGATATTCTATGAACGAGACTGACAATGATAGCGAAAGGAGGGAACACACTTGAGAGTAAGACCACTGCAGAGGTGGAATGATGAGATCAGCTCGTAAGTATAAACAAGATGGATTTTAGCATCGAAAGACAGTCATGAATGACGACTTGGGTAGGCCTTCATTCAGCATTGGATAGAACATGGCTGGTAGTCATGACACATAGATTCTTAAACGTACAATGACACACGCTTATACACACGTGCACATGTATATTTTTTCACACATTTACACAGGATGTACACATGCATAGATATAATGGCATGCATCATCATGAGACGTCTCCGTTGCTGGATAAAATCTTCCTCATCAAATCAATATCCATTGCATTCCTGAAATTCCGCAATCACTCTTATTCCTACACATTAACTGGTCTGATTGCTTCATCTAAATGTCAACATGTGTACACCCACACATTTACGGTGACGAAGTTTTCCGTATCGACTTTTAAGACGGTTCGGCAAGTGATGTTCTGGAGCACCTCTTAAGGTGCGCAGAGCACAAAAGGGGATGGTGTGGCCAGAACCACACCCAGCCACCTTTGCCTCCCTAGTGCTGATGATTACAAACAACATCAGGCACTCAATAAAGGCCAAGAGAACCTAGAGGAAGCCCTGGACCGGTTCATATGTTACCTGCCACCAACGTTAGCCGTGGCTGGGATTGAAATTGTGTCTGTGAGTTCATAGCAGAGTGTTCCATCCACTCCACTTTTTCCCCCATAAAAAACGAAGATCCCTCCTATACCCTTAACAGACTGTTGGGGCGAGTGCTGTTAGCAAGCGCCTATGAAGGCCAACATGCCACGCGAATGGGTTGGTGGCCAGCATCACGCCTGGCCGCCTTTGTCATTCAAAGAGGAGGCTTGAATGCGTCATCATGAGCTGTTGCCTATCCCTCATGGTCCTGTAATGCTACAGTCTCTTACCCTCCACTGTCACTGGAACTATTTGATATTAGTAAATTATTTGTTAATTGCTACTGTATTCTAAGATTCGAGTGATATTGAATTGCCAGGTTCAAATGTGTTTTTCTTTTAAGCGTTAAATATTTTGCATACATATATTGTACTGAATGAAAGTGTTGTGAGTGCATGTCCAATATGGCTACATGATTCGAGGATCATCATCTTATTTCTCTTCCCTAAGCTCATTAGTGACAATGGTGCCAAACTAATTTCCACCTTGATTGTCTTTTTTATTCAGCATTCCTGCTTCATTCAATATCAATGCTGAATAAGGAATGTTTCACCTATTCGGATGCCATGGTTTTTTACGTGAAACTCTATTTATCTTAGATATACGTGGCTCTGTCAGTGTTCCTGACATCATAACTATGTTATGGTTTGAGGTTAAAAAATGTACATTTTTTTATGGAACTACAGAACAGCGAAAATGCCACGAAAGATGTGCACTGTGCAGATCATTTTATTACTTTAGAAAAAATGCCGACATATCTGTATTAATGTTTATTGTTCACTGAATTTGATGTTTTCAGATGTACTTGTATACTGTGTGTAAAAAGGCATAAGTGAATGAAAGTCTCACCACTTCATCCATGTGCATTCCTTTGGCGATATTTTACTGTGTTTGAATTACTGCTTCAACTTTTTTTCATTTACAGAAAGCGATAGATCTTGTCACCAAAGCTACAGAGGAAGACAAAGCTAAGAATTATGAAGAAGCACTGAGGCTTTACCAACATTCTGTGGAGTATTTTCTCCATGCCATTAAGTGTAAGTTTCAACTATAAAAGTGTTTTTATCCATGTCCACAAAGACTGGTGAAGTCAAAGGACCTTTTTCTCTGCAATCAAGTGACGGATATGTTTGCTTTTTCTGCCCTCTTATGCTGCGTTGACTACGTTCTGTGCGGTACGTGACTATCACTCTCGGTTTTGAATGTCTTGTAGATGAAGCCCAAAGCGAGAAGGCCAAAGAGAGCATTAGAGCCAAATGCAAGCAGTATTTGGAGCGCGCCGAGAAGCTGAAAGAATACCTCCGGACCAAGGAGAAGGGTGGCAAGAAGCCTGTCAAAGAGTCGCAGTCCAACGACAAAGGGTGATTAAAAATCCCGTACACATCCACACATTGACAGTTCTATGTACTTTCTGTGCTCTGTTATAAAATACAAGACTTACTGTTCAGTGAAGTTCAGTGATTGAGCTTTATGCGTTTTTACCATTTGCACCAGCAGCGACAGTGACAGTGAAGGTGAAAATCCAGAAAAGAAAAAAATGCAAGAGCAGCTTCAAAGTAAGACTGTGTTGATTGTTAAAAACACAACTTTTTGTCAATAACACTGCCCTCGGGATGAGCATTTATATACTAGACAAGTTTTTGTGCAATGACCCTTTTTCATAGCCTTCTGCAGACTGCTGTGAAGAGGGGCCATATGTTGCCTATTATACATTTGTTATTTGTGCTTGTGTAGCACTGCCAATGCAGTATCGCAATGTTTCCTTGCTTTTTGCTGGTGTTTTATTTTGGTGGTTTGAATTGTTAACACGTAAGTTTGATGTTTGAATAAGGCTTGAGTCGGTGACTAAAAAAACCGGCTTGTTGATGGTTTTATTGACACGGATTAATATTGCCCTCAGGTGCAATTGTAATGGAGAAACCAAATGTGAAATGGAGTGACGTGGCTGGGCTGGAAGGGGCCAAGGAGGCGCTGAAGGAGGCAGTCATTCTGCCTATAAAATTCCCACATCTTTTCACAGGTAGAGGAAATGAGTTTTTGTTGTTGTAATAGCAACGAAGATCCCTCCTATAGCATTGTCTTGGTTAAACATTTTTTACTTAATGTGCTATTGACAAAATACTCGTGTATGTATCTTTTACATTTATTTTTATTTCAGGGGTTTATAGTTTTATGTCAAGTTCATATATGTATTTAAGTTTTAATTGTTTGGTGTTGCTTGCCATTTTAAGATGCATTAATGCATTTATGATTTTTGTATTTAAGCTAAACTGGGATGTGCACATGTTTTCATCACATACCTGTGGTTTTTGTATGTCCCTGAAATGTGGAACGTTGTGTTCAGTCATTAAACCTACTTTAATGATTCTTTGTTTAGCATGTTTAGCGTAAATTTTTTTTGACGTAACATTCCCCCGAAAAATACTCTATAGCGGCACAACATAATATTAGGACTGGTTTTGCAGGCTCTCATGTACTCAACTCTGCCACATTAGCCTAATAATTTCTATGGTGGGTAGGCAAACGCACGCCATGGCGTGGCATCTTGCTCTTCGGACCGCCCGGCACAGGGAAGTCATACCTGGCGAAGGCTGTGGCCACTGAAGCGAACAACTCCACTTTCTTCTCTGTCTCCTCATCGGACCTTGTGTCCAAGTGGTTGGGTGAGAGTGAAAAGTAAGTATTGTTCCTGCACTGAAAAGTTGGGTATAGTCAGCAGTTGACATCATTGTTAAGCCCAATAATAATGCAAATTATTTAACCAGTGGGGTGTATCAGGAGTGCAAGTGGGGTTAGCGCTCTGCGCTATGTACCCTGCAACCTGATTTCGATTCAGTCTCTGCTAATGTGATGAGTGAGTATCTGAACCCATTCTTGGACCCCCTCCCCACTAGCCTTCACCAATCCTCACTAACCATTACAGTGAAGTGTAGTTAACTTCTGTGACTGATCCAGGGTAAAGTAGCCTTCATCCAGCAGTGGATTGACAAAGGCCTGTAAAAATAAACACAGGAAAACCTCCCTTAATCCAAACCCTTTTACTCGAGAAGGTCATGCATATTGCGGTCTTTGAAGAATTCCATTAATTGGTGTTTGGCATGTGGGAGGTAATGTGTACCTGGAGAAAACACAGAGGGTGTAGCACTGAAAACTTTATACAGATAGGTTCAGAAATCCATTACTGTACTGTCATTTGCTGGCCACATTGCAACCCAAGTCTATAACACCCAGTATATACAGGCAGTATTCTATCCAAATACTAACTCAGCTCACCTCTGCTTATTTTTTTTTCCCTGTGATCAGTGGCTCATGGTAGACAATGACATGCACATGTAATTTCATTTTCTGTTCAGGCTGGTGAAGAATCTGTTTGAGATGGCACGTCAGCACAAGCCCTCCATCATCTTCATCGATGAAGTAGACTCCCTGTGTGGCTCCCGCAATGAAAATGAGAGCGAGGCGGCACGTCGCATCAAGACCGAATTCCTGGTCCAGATGCAGGGTATGTGGCACTATCACTCCCTTTAAGGCAGCCAGCGGGTCTCAACTAAGCCTTTCGGTGGGCAGCGCAGGCCGCTGCACGGATACTGCGCGGGATACATTTTGAATATGCGTGGGGAATGTGAGCGGCATATTGCAGTGCCAAAGGACACTAATTAAAAACATTTTTTAAATGCCTTGACGCAGCATTGATTTGAGGCATATTTTCCTTTTGACTATGTATTGTTGTATTAGGAACCTGAGGGAAGAGTGGTGTGGGGACTGTGGTGGGGGCATGGGAACCAGTGTTGTTGATTGGGGCCTGCCATATCACAAAGATTGAGAACCACCGGTTTAACGCTTGTTTTTTTTTTTCCATTAAGGATTGTGGCTTGATGAACGCTTTTTACATTTCACAGGCGTTGGAGTTGACAATGACGGTATTCTTGTGCTGGGGGCAACCAACATCCCGTGGACTTTGGATTCTGCCATTCGCAGGAGGTGAGTGGCTTCCACCTCAAATGGTTCCCATCATTATCTGATGAAATGGTTGTAACACACCACACTTTGTCCTATCTTTGAACAATATTTCTTCTCCCGTATAAGCAAATGTCAGGTGTCGGCAGTGGTTACTGCACTGCACTATAAACCCAGAAACCTGGATTCGATTCCCAGCCACGGTTAGCATCAGTGGTTAATTATATCTGAACCAGTGCTGTGCACCCCCCTTTTCCAACTTGTACTGATCATCGTGGTGAAGTATGGTAAAAAAATGTTCATGACCGACACACCATGGGGAGGCCTTTATTAGGCACAAGAAAAGGTTACACACCTGTTGTATTATTATTTTGGGCCTATTTTTTTGAGTTTTACATGCATACGAGCTCACCAAAGCTAATAAATATCAAACACAGATAAGTACTCATTGGGACTAAGCTGTTCATTAAGGGAGGTCTGAATTATAGGCAATATTGCACAGTGCATAGTAAAAAAGTATTTTTTTAATTAAAAAGACCAGCAAAATGTCTTCATTCTTTACTTCAGTACAACGAAGCAGGAGCAGTATTGCAAGTTTCCATATTTACTCTAAATTTTTCCAAAAGTAAATTTTTGGATGAAATATGAAGTATTATTCAGTATCATTTACTTTCAAATTGTTCAGTAAATTAAAGTTTTTGCGATAAAAAGGCACTGACTGGCAAGGAAAAGTGTTTTATCGTGTGGTGGTATGCCTACATTTTCTACGGTGGTGCTTTGTGTTTTTGTAAATGAAGGTTTGAGAAACGGATCTACATTCCACTGCCAGAGGAACAGGCACGGTTATCCATGTTCAAACTGCACCTGGGGAACACTCCGCTCAGTTTGTCGGAGACGGATTTCCGTGATCTCGGCAAAAAGACAGAGGGCTACTCTGGAGCCGACATTAGCATCGTGGTGCGCGATGCCCTCATGCAGCCCGTCCGCAAAGTGCAGTCCGCCACACACTTCAAGAGGGTGAGTGGTGTCCACTTGAGTCGAGCTGGACTCTGTGATTATATAAGTAAGCGATTATTGATCATCCGCTCGATTTACTCCGCTGGTCACTAACACAAAAATATCTGGGGGGAAAAAGGTCTCACCTCACGTGTCTCTGGGTCACAGCGTTATCATCAACTGTCTCTTGCTTGGTTGTGGTGTGTTGGGGGTTTCCTGCCTTCAGGATGCAGGATATTGGGAAAGTAAGCCATTTCAATTAGTCGATTAAGTAGACTACTCGACTACACAAATTGTAGTCGAGTAGTCTAATTAATTGACTAATTGTCTCAGTTCTTCACATTAGCAAACCCTTATCAATGTGGATAACCCAGCTGGTGTAGACCTGAAAATACATCCTTCTGTCTTTACTGTTTTCAGAAAAAACACTCTTATGCATGCATACTTTAAGGGAGTATCTGCATAGTGGTTTGTACTGTACATAATTCACTATGAGTGACTTTAGTTCGACTGTTAAACCTACGAGTCTTTCAATTGCTATTGGTACTATTGGTACTGAAAAGACTTTCAACCTCTTTCATGTTGCAAAACCATAACATCACAAAGTGGCATGGTGTGTGTGTGAGGTAAAGGAAAAGGTGCAGGCCTGCATATTGCTCTCTCATGCCATAGCTGGCAGAAGGGCCTTCACTAGGAATAGCACTCGAACACCTTTAAGCTGTCTTTTGGCCTCCTCCTCCTCCACAATGTCCGGACATCTCCTTAATCTCGTCAAGGAGCATGAACCATCACGCGAACTCCGGTCATTCTTGCAGCGGCTTTTGGATAGCCATTGAACAAAGACGGTTTCCGCATCGCGCACTTTCAGATGGACTTTTGTGGCTGTCTGGAACCCTCTTCCTTCTAATATTAGAAAGCCACTGGAGCTATGCAATTTTAAATCTAGATTGGAAACAAATTTCTTTAGAACAGTTTTTTTGTTTAGTTTGTCCTTCCTTGCACCTCTGATTACCACTGTTGGCTACGTACGATGCGAAAGAAGTTCTACCATCATCTTGGAAGAGGTTGAATGCAACTGTAGAATCAACTATAATTATGTATGTTATGTATGAGTACCAGCACTGTGGAGTAAAATTACTGCCAGGGTTAGTCGTGCCCAATTCACGCTCTTGTGAGCATTTCTGAAGTCCACCGATATGCGTCATAGTTGGCACCTGTTTGCATTCACAGGGTTATCCTGGATGCCCTATCTGGCCTCGTTGACCATCCATTGACCCTGTCCAGTGCATTGATGATTTAGTAGAGCCCATAGACAGTGAGGCTGCAGTTCAGCATTTTGTTGACAACTTTGAGGTCAAGAAAATGGTGCATTACTATCGCTGCTATATATTTGTTTTCACATTGCTTGCCTCACCAGTCACTTACCTCGATGAAAAGAGCACCTTTGCTGCTTTCTGTTGATTTTGTGTAAGAGTTCTATTTAGGTAAAGTCACGTAGAATGAGAATAAAATAATAAATTGATAAAATAAAATAACACAATAAAATTCTCATGACGTTTCGGCCACAACACAAGCGGCCTTAATCAGGTGAAGGGACGAGACTGTCTGGAGGACAGCACTGGAGCGACAGTCTCGTTCCTTCACCTGATGAAGGCCGCTTGCGTTGTGTTGTGGCCGAAACGTCGTGAGAATTTTATTGTGTTATTTTATTCTATCAATTTATTATTTTATTCTCATTCTACGTGACTTTACCGAAAGAACCAAAGAAGATGAATCCTTGCAGTCACGAAAGCTTTAAATCGAAATTTAGTTCCATTTAGCTTTGCTTTGGGCTCACAGGTATACTGTTCTTTGTGTCGAGCAGGTACGAGGACCTTCAAGAGATGACCCAAATATGTTTGTGGATGACTTGCTGACCCCATGCTCTCCTGGGGACCCCAATGCCATTGAGATGACCTGGATGGATGTCCCTGGAGATAAGCTGCTGGAGCCTGTCGTCTCTACGGTAAAACCGTTTCCGGTTTTCGTTTCAATGTTGTTTAACCAAGGTTTTAAAATGTTAATGTATTGGCTCTGTCTCAATTGGGGAGGGACATTAAAACTAGGATACACATTATTCAATACGAACAAAACTTGAATATAATGTTCCATTGCTATTAGGGATGTATCCAATAGAAACCCTGGGAAATGTAATAGTGTACGGTGGTGCCTTGTACTATTGGTATGCATCTTTTCTAAGATTAATGTGGGATTCAAAATTTGTTTTAGTGTCCGATGAGTCCTTGAGCTCGCTATTTTAATACTAAGTGAAACAAAAACTCTCACTGAAATTTATGTACGTCAATCTTGATTTGAAGCTTTCGTGACTGCAGGAATCCATACTCTTTGGTTCTTTCGGTAAAGTCACGTAGGTAGAATTTTTTTTTTAAATAAAAAATTATATATCACGACGTTTCAATCGCAACACAAGCGGTCGTCCTCAGGCGGAAAAAATATAATCCAGCAGTAGACCTGTTATTGGTGCAGTGAGGAAGAGATATTTTATAATTATTTTATCCAATTGCGGTTCCTGCTTGAAAGTTAATTGACAATGAAATAATGTATCTAAACGGATGCTAAGTTATGCAGTAACAATTTTATATATAATCATAAGCTGCATTTATTTTTTGTATACATGTTCATATACAGCTAATGGTATGTATTTAATGACATGGAACTGTTTATGCTTTTGCCGATTAAATAATTGTGCTTTGTTAAATATTTTCTGCAGTCGGACATGCTGCGCTCACTCGCCACTACACGGCCCACCGTCAACTCTGAAGACCTCAAAAAGCTCCAGAAGTTCACAGATGACTTTGGCCAAGAGGGCTGAGACAGGCTAGAAGTTGGTATTTATCAATGGATTGCGCCAACATTTATACCGCAGGATAAGTACAGCTGTTTAAGGCCCTTTCCTTTGGTTTGCGTATTACCGACAGGTGATTATTTAGAATCATTAATTCTATTATTATTTTTATTAATGTCATCAGATAACCAGTCAGGCGCATTATGAGCATGTTAATGGTGAAAAAACACGGGTGCGTTTCAAAATAATGCACGCTCCAAACCACTTGTCGCCAAATTGGAAACATTACAGCCTCGAGAGGATGGCCGTCGTTTTTGACGGTGGTGACAAATGTGCGTCAACAACAAAACAACAACCCGGATATGTGTTCCCACTTTTTTTTTAATATTGCCAATTAGCATTTTGTAAGCCACACAAGGTTTCGCAAACAGTACCCGGTTCACAAGCTGTTTCCCAAGGCTAGTGCAAATGCCTCGGTCTCATTAAGTGATTGTTGTATGAGAGAAAAAAAGCTTCATATTATTGGGTCGTTGGGTTTTGTAACTGTTTTGCATGGTTTTTGTCAAATACTGTATACCTACCTTTAAAAATGTTCCGTGTAAAATGTATGAACTTTACTCGCACAGTAAGTCTGCAAAAGCCTTGAATATGTTCTTTCTATTCTGCCAACTTAAGTTTCTCTCCTTTGTTGTGTTTAATTTTTTTGTGAGGATTTTCACTCATGATTTTAGTGTGTACATACTGAATTCATCCATCTATTCCAAGTAAAGTAAATGGACAGGCCATTTCACAGCTTCACTAGCTTTGAACCTAGGGTTGTTACGACAGTATATTGTTGCAGTTAATAAAATGTAAATAAAATATTAATGGAATGATGCAGACTATTTTGGTTTTTGAATTGGGAACTGGATCTAAATGCTGACACTTGATACATTTCAGCTCAGAATGGGACAATTTGAAATCCCATTTTTGAATTCCATTCAGAATTGGCACTTTTTAAAGAATCACGGAATCTTGAGTCTATAGGCGGAAACAAAGGCGGTGTTTTCTTGGCTGGTGTTCGTCGGTGGCATGGCACGCACGTGGCTGCAAAAGACGTGGCAACACTTATTGGAAAATTCGTAAAAATCAGAATGTTGGTACAGTATTTAACACCAGTTTCAAGATATGGGCTTCGCAGCCTTTCCTCATACCTAGCGAGTCAACTAGAGCAATATGCATGATACACGTGTGTTTCACGTGTTTAAAATATACCCTGTCCTGCTCCTCTGTTTTTGTATTCCCTCCCTTTAAAAGAAATGTCATTACAGGGCTGTGTCATTACAGTGTGCTCTGTATGTGACGATGCTGTGTGCAATGTGACATCATATCATGCTCTGTGACCTGACATCCCTGCGTGCTTTGATGGACTTATCACAGTGCACTGTGACGTCAGTGGGATCTATCTACACCGTGACATCACAGCATGCGCTGCAACAAAATTCATGCTTTGTACCATAAAATCACATCATGTTCTGTGCACAGACGTCACAGCAGTCCCACAGCTGGAGGAGGCCGAGCACCCCCCCCCCCCCCCCCCATCGGTGTGATGACAAAGCCCTCTTCAGAATTTTTAACGTCAAGTGAGAAAACAATGGGTGTCAGCCTTGCCTCTTATATGGTGTGGGAGACTAGCATGCATTATAAAGACAACGCTGATTATATAATTAATTATTCTGTATAGGTTTCAGCATTTATTTAAAGTTTGTTCAACGTTGACGGCCATGCCTCCGGTGGGTTTTTGTTGTGTATGCACCCCTTAAAACAAGGTCACACTACTTCAGGGCTGGAGCATACACAAGTTAGAGGCATCTTAATGGCTGTTAAGAAAAGTGAATGTGCCTGGGCAGGACACGTGACTTTAGAGTGCCAGCTAAAGGAGGGAACGCTGGTGAGTTTCCACAGCGGTGAGGTCCGCTCGTGTGCAGTGTTGTGAGGGGTGACACTTGGGGGAGGCCTCTTCATCCAGCAAGTGGATAGATGAAGACTGATGATGAACGTTAAGAGTTGCCATTGTTACGAGAGTTAAAAGCAGTTACCATGGTGTGAGAATTAAGTTATCACGGTGTCAAGAGGATAAAAAGTAACCGTGCTGTTACGTAGGTATTCCCGCTCATAGAGCTTACTCCATGTACTTTGTGTGAAAATATAAGAATAGGTTTTACCCTTTCTGGCAATAAAACAGGCGGTATGCATGCATTCACCACACGCACTTGTGGTGAACTTACAAGTAAAACATGCTCTGATAATGTATGGCATTGTCTTTGAAACCGATTGGCTACACCAGGGAGAGCCTTTCGGGCCTTGTCTCACCATTGGCAGACCAGAGAACGCTAAAAGGCGAACAGTTGGCCTTCTCTGGTCTGGCACTGGTGAGACTAGGCCCGAAAGAAGGCTCTCTCTGGTGTCGACAAATTAGTTTCAAAGACGATGCATATTTTATTTTTAGAGCATGTTTGCATGTTCACCACAAGCACGCGTGGTTAATGTAGACATGATTCCTTGCAAAAGGTTCCTATTTGGTGTTTGAACATCTTAACACAACTCCTGTTTTATTGCTAGAAAGGGTAAAGCCTATTCCATTTTTTTCATACTTTGATACTGGGAAAAAAGATCCCTGTACTCTGCTTTACTCTCGAACGAAGCAATTAAACAACTTTGGGCAGCCTACATCAGACACCCAGCAGGAGCCATAATAATCAGCAAGGAAGAATGCGCGCTGGTGCAATTCATTTTCTAATGAAGCTCCCAGCACATGGAGGGAAGTTGACGCCGTGCCAAACAACGCACGACACAACCCGGAAGCACACCCGAGAGATTGACAGTTGCCGTGATGAAACAATGCAGTTTGAGAGTTAAAAAACAGTTGTTACAATACGAGAGTAAACGGGTACCATGGTGTGCGAGTTAAAACTACCATGATGTAGTCTCTGAAATTTGTATTTTGTTTTGTCAATTGTTTTCTTAATGTGCATTTTTAATTCGAGCAATAAAGCTGTGGATTCGTTCAGTTTCAATTTTGGAAGCTCGGCTGAAATTTGGATCTGATTAAATTTGGCTCCTTGTTATTTTCACAGAAACTTACCCATCGTCTGTAATTTTTATCCTAGCATGTTTGCATTTACTGATGGAATATTTACTTTAATGTATTTCCGTGATAATTTTTTTGCCATTTTTACCAATTCTGTTAACGATAAATGTGTTTTGCCAACAATACATCGTGCAGTGCTTTGGTACAGCCAACAAAGAGCAAACGTTACCAAATTGTAGAAAGTCTTTCAATCCCGCCTCTTATGGACATCTGTGAAAAAGGAGCTTCATAGCTCCTCATATTCCTCCAGTATAAATAATTATTCTAATTAACCGCATGATCCATTTATTATAGATACCCTCACTAAATAATAGGGGTATATATTCTCGAGAAAATATTTTATTTCAAATCCTGTATGCGACTCCCACAAATCTCGGTACACTTACTAAATGTTTTAACACTAAGACGTGGAGGCATTTTTTTATGGTATACAACCGCCTTTTAGGACCAGAGTAAAAGGGGCGTTATTTGGGGGTGTCTGTAAATGCAACACCATCTACCTATGTTGAACTTTTTTCGCACCGTAACCATGCATTTTAAAGGACAAAGTGTAGTGTGGTGCAACACAACCTTTTCCAGCAGGGGTCAATCGCCAACCAAATGTGAAATAGACTATGCCTGAACAGGACTCGTGTATCCAGCCATCCACACGTCCCTAACCTTCCTATAACCTGAGCATGACACCATGGCGTGGTATGCGCATTTGTTGTCCACCGGACACAGCTTCTGGTCAAACGCAGAAATGAACTATTGCTAAGATATCCTGAGAAGGCTCGATAGGTCTGAGCGAGTGCCCAGCCATGTGTGAATTCCAGCAGAAGTGGTGGAGATAACCGTGACGCCAGAGCTTGGTGTTATATCCGCACTTGCTCTTTTAATAGAACCACACTCGAATAGCGGTTTACAAACGCTGAGGTCATCTTGGGTCATGCGCACATCTCTTACCGTGAATTAAAGTTGCACACGAAATTAATTAAAAGTCCAGACAGCTGCGCGTTATTAACAGAGGGCAAAGTAATTCAGAAAGGCTCAGTTACGATGTGCCTACGTGTTAAACTGATGTGCATTGTGTCTGGAGTGTGTTCATGCGTCCTTTGTACTCGAAAAGGTAGCAAGTGGTGCTAATGAGACACTGTTCAACTATAATTGGTTCGAAGGCCAATAATAACATGCTTCATCCGGTCTGCGTAATGAGGACACGACTGGTTAGCTCATTGATCACACGCTCGTTTTGGTAGGGTACCAGCGTGTGATTTCCGAAGAGAGAGTAGGTCCTAACACAATGGTTTTGAATTACATCTCAGATGCGTTTTGTATTCCCGTGATGCTCGTAACACAATGATGTGCCTAGCAATTGAAAAACAAAAACAGGCATTCCTGGCTGGTGGGAGCATGGCTTTGTTTGTTCCGTGATAGCTCCACCCATGGCATGCCTGGCGGCCACCCATCAATTGTGTTATTTTTGGACCGCTTGTTAGAGACGTCCTCATAATGAAAAAGGCGACCACTGCAAGACATTATTACTCCCACGATGGTGCCCGAATCGTTGAGAACAATGTTGTAATAGGTGGTTGCATAGTTCACATCAGCAGATCGGTACCGGGTGTCGGGTTTAATTCGGCCTGGCATAGAGGCCGTGACAGCACGTTCTTTAAAAGAGCTGTCATTGAGTTTCTGTCCAGTCTTGTCCCAGACTGCCATACAACAGCTGGATCTGATATGAGTATGGGACCCTTGGAAAATGCATGGTAAGTAAATTCCGATTTGTTATAGCTCGCAACACACTGAGGTTATGTTTTATGATGTGAGCAGCGTGTTGTCACAAAAACAGCGTCATTTAAAATGTCTTCATTATTAAAATTAGTTATAAGTGCTTTTTAAATGTAGACGTCGCATTAGAGTTCTGGGTCAACAGGGCATCATGCACGATGTAAACATTACATGTATATTTATAATTAATTTAAATACACGTCAATTATATTACTATGAGCTCACACTACTCTTCTGTATATATATTCAGTTAGATGAAATGCAGCCGCTGTGGATTATCACTTCCACAGTGTTGGATTCAGGAATGATGGGCACACTTTTAGTAGCCGTATTTATGTTTTTGCAATGTACGCTACCAATCTGCTATATACGCTGACTATGTGTATGTTTGTTCGCATGTATATATTTATGGTTGTCCGTGTGGTTCCAACACGGTACGAGAATAAACCCGGACAGGATCCCGTGCTACTTGGAGATTCACACACAAGTGGAAGGACAAAGAAGTTACGGGAAGAAAAATCTGGGTGGATAAATTGAGCCATAGGACATCTAGAAGACAAGGACTGAGATTGTGCGACGCAGTGATACTGGCTAAAGACAGAACCATGGTGGGAAGTTGTTTGGCTCCATCGTCGCCGATCTGACAGTGGACGGATAATGATGTGTGGAAAACTCCAGCAATGTTCAATGAACGCCGTGTCATTTGAAAGCGTATAACGTGGAGTCAATCCAAATCGGTTTGAAATTACAGAACCACGTTTTGCCTTTGACCCCAAAATTCAGCGAATTCAGCTCATTTAGTTTATCGGCCTCCAGCGTTGTTTATCTATTCCACCATTTACAATGGTCGGGTGTGTGACGTGTTCCCCATTTTAAAAGCATGCACAGGATAGGCGGGTGTCATTGGGATGGGGAGTGTGTCGGGAGGGTGCTGGCGTGACAAGATACCCGTGAGCACATGCCCCTTCCGCCAAACCTGGCACGTCAAATTAATTTCCATTGAAAACACGAGAATTTGGCAGCATATTCCTTCAAAAACAATTGCCTTTTAATCTCAACTGGCTTGCCATTAGTTTTTTTTATAACCAGTGGCGAAGTGTGATGAGCACGTGCCCGTGACATGGCATGACACAGAGACCCCTTCTCCCCATCATCCCACGCGTGGACCTCCACTGCGGCCCTTTGTGTCCGTGGCGCAGTTGCACCGCCTGCATACTCGACAGCCACGTCACTGCTCGCGGAACCCCATTTGGATGAGTCCCACAAATTGAACATCCCGTGGCGATGCAGCAGTGGAACTTTTCCCTTCCACCAGATGAATTTTTTTGCACACTTGCCCGTGACCCTGAGCTGTCCGCTGCTGTGCGAGCTAATGCGGTGCGTGCTGTGTCGCCGCGTTGTGGGCCTGCTGTGCTGTGTGCGTGCATTAACGGGCTCGCATTCGCGCCGCGACTGGCAGCTTTGTATGGAGCGATAGCTGGCAGGTATGGCGTACGAAATGGAAAGTATGCGCCGACATAAAACAGTTGAGCCATCACGTGAGTGCCTTTGTGCCCCCCTGCCCGCCCGCCCGCTCGCTCGCTCGCTCGCCGCCTCCCCCCGGTGTAAGTGCAGCATCAAAGACCGAAGTTAATTGTTGTGCGGCACGGCCCTCGTTCGACATCAAACGGCGGAGGAGGAAAGGGAGAAGGGCCACTGCCAAACGAGAAGTGCATCTCCTCGCACGCTTTGTGTAAACAGTGGCTCTAGGGCATCCCGGATCACCAACGCGAGTGACATCGGGGAACACGCGCGCACACGTTATAGCAAGCTTCAGGGTAAACACGCAGGGGACATCGAGGCGAGGTGCTTCTTATAAATTCAAGTGTAATATGTTGCACGAAATAAAACATGTATTGGGCCATGAACATCCTGTATTGTGTGTATATTGTACAGTTCACACAATGTAACGAAATGGATTGTTGTGTCACAGGACCGTGATGTGACAACAGCTTGGGCAGGGAAATTCATCCAGCAGTAGATAATTCATCGTGACTCATGATGATTTCTAATGATGGACTAGTGTTCTCGTGAATAGCCTTCGTGAGAGCGTATCTCCTTGCCTGAGTCCTGATTTGTGTTTTGTTACTGCATGCAAGTGTAGCCATTTCATCTTGACTTGAAAAACTGCAATCCAAAACGTGGAACACACAGAGCTCCTCCGTTAAAAGCATTCATAAAATAGTGACATAAATTAGAAAACATAAGACTTACTGAAGTCATAACATTCATCATTATTGGCTGTGGTAAATGGTTATGATGTGTAAAGTATATTATGCTTATCCTATACAGTACTGTAGTAATCATAGAACAAAATATTCCCTTGCGACTTTGTGGAGAATTAAATAAGCAATCGATAAGCAGACACGTCACGTGGCCTCCTGGCAACCCATCATTTCAGCAGTGTTGATTCAGCATAAGCAAACTGATAATTTTGTCTTTTATAATTTTGCGTCGATTAGGACCAATATTCCACTTAACACCTGGCAATTTAACCAGCATTGATTAGATTGCTGATGAGATATTGCGTGTCAAAACCGGTCCAGAGTTTGCTTGTGCTGAATCATGCTGCTGATTATGCACTCCCAGAAGGCCATTGGGACAATGTGCTGTGTAAGAAATACTTTATTTATGTGGAGATATCTGAATGAGATCGTGCCTATTTATCTATTTTTTTGTTGTGCCGGGAGTTTTAACTCTGAAAAATGTATTCTTGCAAGAGCATGTGTGAATGTCAAATTAAACTTAATATTTTACATCACTGAATGATTGTGAGCACACTAAATATTATATGACCTACAAATTTCTGTAACTTTTGTGGGAGGAAACCAAATACTATCTTCGCAAGTGTGCATTAAATGTGTTTAGCACCTGACTTCACTGAGTAAATATTGGTGTAGAATAGCGTAATTGTGGACGGTATGTGAAGAGCGTGGTGATGACGACGAGCCAGTGTCCCTGGCATGCAAATTAAGAGAGATTAATCTGGATTGGAATAGGGGTGCAGAGGTCACTTGTGCCTTGAGTGCCAAGCACTCAAGGCACATTCCATCACCTCTCGGGAGATTATGCCCCTTTGACAATGCCATTTTACAAAAACGAGTGTGATCGTTGGCCTAACTCGTTTCATCACCCATCAACCATAGCCATTGCTTATCCACTGCTTGACGAAGGACTCCCCAGGTCGGCACTATTATTCATGGTTCTGGTATTCCACAATCCATATCACTCCTGTGGAGGAACTGATTTGATTTGTGACATCTCCGTGGTGTTCATAATGTCGGCAGTGTTCACTGCTTTAGTTGCTCTTCTGTCACCAGTATTGTCCATTGGCTGTCATCACTGGTACATCAATGCAGTGTGTCCTGCCCAAGGTCAGTTACTTTTTTTAAAACAAATCATTTGATGATGCTGCGTTGACAATGGTACAAGCACAGTGGACAAATACGCTTCACACATTCGTCAACGACACTGCCTTAAAATAAAATATATATAATCAGCGACGTTTCGAGCAATGGGATTTCCTCATTACGTGCCATGTTGACGAGTGTGTTGAGTTTTTTAAAACTCTTTTTTAAAAGTCAACAACATGTCTAATTTGATACTTTGCTATCTGATCCACGTGGTTCTTTCCCCGTCTCTCAATATGATGCCCAGGATGCATCTCTTCACACAATGCATTCTTTTCACCGTTTGTTCCACGTTCCTCCATATAACAATCAACATGGTAAGGCAGGTACTATACACAGATGGAAACTTTCTTTTTGAGGATCATTAATGTTGCTTTTGATGATCAAATTAGTTTGATCATCAAAGTGATTCGTCCTGCCATTCAGCTGTTTCTCTCACCTCTTTGTTGTCATCGCTTTCGTTCCCAACGACCTTGAATCGCTGTCCGAGTTGCACACGTTCTGCTATGCATTTCGGTTGTGTCCCTCCAACAAATGCCCTGAAGCTAGTGGTAAATCGATTGAACAACATAATCACGTTTTGTTCAATAAAACATATCTCATGAGAGTACAGTAAATCCGCCCGTCACATCTGTCCTGGCCCATCAACTGCCCACACCCAGCGCAGTATTTGTGCACGGCGTAATTCTCATTTTCTATCAAATTCAACTGTGCGTTCTTAACTTCTTGTACATTTTCCTGTTTGTCGAGTGGGATGGAGGAGTTTGCACTTCATTATCCACTGGTGACGCATTTGTGTGCGTGGTGCAACTGCCATGTGCCAAGGAATGGTCACATCCATGACCTGCTCACATATCCGCCGACACCTCGGTCCCCGCGAGTGGGATGTGCGACGTTGTCCTGGAGTTCAGACTCAGCGGCTTGATTTCAGCTGGTAAGGGACATCGAGCCAGGTAGCTGCGTCACGAGGAAGACCCCAGCCAAAGACTTGTCGGCCGTGCTGGCAGTCACTGGCCATCATCGCAGGATGGAAATGTGCAAATTAGCGACAGCAAAAAACGACAAATTATTTACACGAAACCTACATAAGACCTTACTGCAAACAAGATAAACAAACAGCATTTAAAACAATGTAAAACAAATCCTACGTAATTAAAAAGTAAATACAGCCTCAGCCATAATGTAACGTAGTTTAAGTTGATTACGTGAGCATGACTTTGGGTATAAACAGCGTCGGCATGCGTAAAACTCCACCAGGAAATCTGATGTTCTCATGAAGATGTGTTACATGAAGGACCGCCCATTGCACGGAGCGCTTATACGTTATGCAATGCCCTCTCTTGCACCATTATAGAAGATGAATGTCTCGTTAAGAGGGAATGCAGTCAGTCACAACAACTGATGCTCAACACCTGACCGATGTAAATCTATGTAGGAACACAGGTGGTGGTTGTTGACAATATTGTGGTTTATTAATAATCAGAATCATCTGCTGTTATCTGTTCACTGTTGGATGAAAACCTTAACTCAATCCCATTAACTGCTATATAATTTAAAGTCCATAAATAAGGAAGGATAATATTGCATCTGCATTTATCGTGAAACGCATTAATCTTTTAAAATAATTAATTGTACTGTATTTAATTAGCCACAGTAGCAGGAGTGCGTCCGTACATCGTGATGAGCACGGGGGCTGGAATATCAGCTCTGGCAGGGATAGTGCGGGCAAGGCCAGGATTTATCTCGGGTGAGTCCATCATCGTAACGCAACGTTACACTAAACGTTTGTTCACATTGGATCATCTTTATTGTCAGCCACGTCACAGACAGAGGGGAGAGGTAATGCGTAACGCTTTCAGCCTTCGTTGGAAAAGTGTTAAAGAGCTGCTGGCAACCCTGAGTTAAAAAAAAACAAACTTCAAAGTGGACTAAGAGGCCCGGAGATATGCATGCTTGCAATTACACCGAGATACAGAGAGATGAAAACATGGATTATAGAACATTTCGCGTGTTTGGGCAGGGCACATCACGATAAGCGATGATCAAGAATAATGACCGGAGTGGCAGCAAAGGAACAGAACGTGTCCGATAGCACATCCACCACAAGGAGATGGAGCAATGTATTACATTTGTGCACCGGTGTTAGACGGATTGGTACATTGCTGAAGAGCGAGAGATTGCAGTGTCTTGGGGGAGGCCTTCATCCAGATCAAGCAGCTGATTGACCACGACTGCTGCTGCTGATGATGATGATACACCGGGACGGTTCTGTAAACACCGACAAAGGCATCGCGAATGTTGTGCCGCAGGATGCAACACAAGGGCAGCAGCTGCGTCTGCGAGGTGGATGAGGACACCACGCGGGCCCTGCTGCCCCTCGGCTGCTCCTCCGCCGGGGTGGTGGCCGGCCGCGGCTCGCCGGACCGGCCGCCCGATGGCCTCACGGCCGACTCGCCCCCCAACCAACAACAGGGCCAGCGGCAGGAGGCGCAGACGCAGGCGCAGGGCTGCGCTCGGGACGCCGGCGGCGGCGGGGGGAAGCCCCGGGCGCAGCGCAAAACAAAGGCGGTCCAGCGGAGGGTGAGCCAGCGCCGGCTGGGACATCTCGCCTTCTTCCACTACCTGAAGCGCGTCGAGTCGAGGACGGGGTTCTGGGAGAAGCACACCACCCAGCACCTGCTCCTGCACAAGAACGACGAGGTACCCACCGCGCCATCGCCTCCTTTGCGTGCGCATTGTTGGACTTCTTTCGCACCGCACGCAGGCAACCGTAATAATTATAATCGGAGGTGCGGGGGAAAGACAACAAAATAATCACAAGACGGAGTTCTAAAGAAATTAGTTTTCAGTTTAGATTTAAAAGTGCATAGTTGTCAGTAGCTTCCTAATATCGGAAGGAAGAGCGTTCCAGACGGCCGCGTGATGTTCGATGGTTAGCCAAAAGCCGCTGCGAGGATGACCGGAGTTTTTGTGATGACCGCATCCGTTCGATCGTGACCATGCCACCCAAACTATGGACCGTATAGTAAACCACTGTAGTCTGCGTCCCTTCAAGAGAGGAAAAGCAATACTGCACCAATTCTCTCCATGTGGCGAGCAGACCTCAACATTGGCAGTTCCTGAATATATATACTGTATCACCATATGCAGGAATAGAACTGTCCTGTTCCATTCCCTCCAGGTGTGTCTCTCCTGCACTAGCAGCGTCGAAATCGGACCCATATCTAACACAGCTCCTTCATTGCCTAAACACACCTGGCAGATCACCATCATTGGTTCAAGCAAGCCTGTTGATGAGACACTGAGTGCCAACACCGGTCCAGTAGCTTGTGTTTGTGTTGCGTTGTTGGTGGAGCAATGCTGTGCTGCTGAAATTATGCACTGCCAGGATGTCGCGCAGCTCATGAACTACTTTTTCTCAACATGCGGAGCGACGTAAATTATGTATGAAGGAGGAATATTTTCTACTTAATTATTTTGTTTACTTATTCGCTGAGTACCGAGTCTGGTCCTTGCCACCTGCACATCGACCAATGGAATGCCTCCTGGAGGATGCTACCTTCTTCTTCACTGCTCGGTTCCGGCTCATTAGCGGGCTTCAAGCCTTTCATCCAGCAGTGGCTTGACAAAAGGGCCCTATATGTACATAAAGTCCATCTCCGATGCGGTGCGGAATCAGAATCTCTTTATTTTTCTTGGAGAAATCCGATGAGCTATGAGGCTCTTTTCCACACATGTCCAGATGTCCAAACGCACAGTGCTGTGCTTCGCAAGAAGATGTTTTCTCTTACATCCTTCCAGATTGTTTGTAATTTTCGTTCCGCTTGACCTGATCAAACAAAGGACCCTCGTGTCGCAGTTACTTTGATGTTACTTAAGAGCTATGGTGGCAAGATGTTAACTTCCTCGCCCGGTATACAGGAGGTCGTGGGTTCGACCCTGACGCCTGTATATTTGGATGGTGCATGTTCTCCCCGTGATCGTGTGGATTTTCTCCGGGTCCTCCGGGTTTTCCCTACACATTTAGAATCAATATGCGTTTTGGATATTTGGCTGCTTATCAATTTCCAGAATGATAAGCCACTTCGATGAGCTGCCATATGTGGCCAAGTTGCTTCTGAGAAAGAGCTTCATTGCTCAGCGGGCTTTACCTGGTAAAATATTTTTGTAATTATAGTTTTATGTACAAACGGGGTTTATAGTTGCATGTACGAAGGGGCATTCTTACATCGTCCAAATTTAATTCGTTCTCCTGACTCATCCTTGTGGCGGAGTGCTGTCTCGGGGTGTCACTGCTTATCCATGCCCCTCCTGCCTTCCTCTTGCGATTCAAGCGATTCTTGAGAATCAGCGCCACTATTCCATTTGAGGATTGATACTTTTTATTCACACTATGATAAGTGTGGTGGAGAGTGGCCACGTTGACCCATTGCATACCTCATCGGTAAAGGTGCAGCCCTATGGTTGCTTGCTCGTGCCGCTGCTGGAAGAAGTTGCTCCACTCGAGGGAGCTTTAGCGGAGCAAGGTGCGTGGTCGACTCTTCCACGTTAGCCAAGCTACCTTGGAAGAGATGGCAGCACCCACGCATGAGGACAACCACACACTGCCTGCCAATCGACTTCACCGCACACGACGTGCAAATAAAAGAGCGTGAATTCTTTCACGACCGTACTGATACGCGCATCGCGAGCTTAAGTATCGGTATGAATTGACGAATCAATACACCATTACTGTCCTGGCGTTGACCTCCGTAAAGCATCAAGTGCAACTGTGGCAACTCGATATCATTACATTATTGAGGTGTGGCATTTCACGCCGCTAATATCCAACGCAAGGTCAGCAGCCTGCTGGAGGTTGGAGTGAAAACGGGCACACAAACAAAGCAAGGACGACATCTACCCCACATGGGGGGGCGGGGGGCGGGGCTGTTATTTTAAGGGTGAGATAAATGGACGGGAGAAACGCATTTTTTTCCCGAAGGTGATGAGTAAGTGCAAAATTATAACGGAAGGTGACGGAAAGTGAATTTCAGTTCCAATTTGAAAGACGTGCAGTATTAGTTCACGCTGGTCGCCCTGGTCGTGATCTCTCGCGGCAACTTTGGCTGGTCCACAACCTCACAGATCAGCTGGTCGTGGTATCAGTCCGTCCAGCATGATACGTTGTACACTCAAGTCCCCTCCTTAGTGCATGAAAGGGTGATTTTGGATAGTTTACAGATCTATTGATGTTCCCGAAGAACTGAATTCACGTGTTGTTTAACGGGAATGAGTAGTTGTTCCTTTTGTATATTTTCAATAATTCATATGATGTAACACCTGTCGATCATAAACATTAGTCAATAACAAAAATGAAGTCAGTATTATATGTAACTGAGACAGTTGTATGTCTACAGGGAACTGAGGGATCAGAGTAGTGTGGACTGGCACCGCTGTGATTAAAGTTTAGAATTTGGGTTTTAGCCACCCTTGATCAAACTGGGCTTTCACGTGCAGTCAGTTGAAGGGCCAAATCCAGTCAAGCCACGAGACTGTACAAAAACAAAATGTTACATTTGTTGTTTCACTGAATTTGGCTAAATCAAAACTACAAGAATTAAAAGATATCAGTTGTGCTGGCATCCATTAAGCACGTCTCTTTAGCAGGGTGTGTATAGTAAAGTATACCACCCACTGTTAGGACGCAAAAGGTCACTTAGAAGGAATCTCAAAAGTTGTTCTGTGATGTCTGCTTCTGCAAAGTTTTGTGCGAGATTTCCAAATGCATTCTTCATCCAATGACACCAACAACACAATTGCAAAACAATTGCGAAAAAGGCGAAATCAAGTTGTTATTTAAAACAAAAAAATACATTTGCTGAGTTTACATGTCATTGCAAAGCATCATTTTACCTCCCTGGATACTGACGGGCCCAACATGACCAACCCCACCTACGAAGCCAACACTGACGATGCTTCCCCCACCACGAGCTGCCCACACGCGTGGCCCAGGCGCGCAACAACAACAACAACAACTTAGCTCGCTTCGCCCTTTTGGTGAGTGTCCCCCGTGCCGGTGTTAGCGTCCTTCGGCGTGAGTTTGTCGTTTTTTTATCTTTTCACCTTTTGGCTCTTAACCACGCGACTCTCGCGTGGCGGTCTTAAACGGGACTCCTCTCACAGCAGCGTGCCGTATCATGTTTCTTGTGATATCCCCGATCTCCTTGCATGGTCTTCTCCCCCGGTGGGCAGCGTGCTGCCCTGGCCCACCTGCTGTTTGCCCATCTTGTTGCTCGTAATGACCCCTGCGTGCGGGCCGGCGAGAGATGTTTGCGCGTTCCGCACCTCGGGGCCCTTTGAAACTTTTTTTTTTGGGTAAGCGCAAACCATCGAGCTACTTTGGAATTTGTCGGGACAACTCGCGTGACATTGCCACGGTAGCAGTTTTTTGTGCGTTTGCTTTTGAGTTTTGAAGAAAGAGCAACGTGTTTGTCATTATGCAGACATACGAAAGGGTTGCAGTGGTATTGGTTTACAGGCACTGCTTAAATAGTGAATTAATTGCGGCAACAACGTATTCATTGCACTGCGTTGTGTCATGATACAATAATAATTAGCAGTCGCTTGTAAATACACTGCTTTCTAAAGATTATCCCCGTGCCATATCGGTGTTGGGGGTTGTTCTACCATGCTTTGCAGTGCTGCACAGTGCAAGTTGGTGATGGGAGAGTCCGGGACCGATTCAGATATCACTCGCCAGTAACGTCAGACGTGACTGGGAATTGAACTGGGGTCACTAGGTTTGTAATGCGACACGCTCATCGCTGATTGCAATGTTTTGTTGAAATGCAGCATGAACAGGAACAAACGTGTATGAAAGGTGACGTTTCTGGGAATGGTCATTCTTCTTCGTAGCACGCAGAGAGATGGAGTGGAGAAGATTTGGAGACTGCTCTGTACACCGCAGATATTTAATTAGACCGAAGTGTTCGAGGGGCGGCAATGATCTCAAGGAGCATGACCCACCATCACGCCGACTCCGATCATCCTCGCAGCAGCAGCAGCGGCGGCGGCGGCAGCGGCGGCTTGAGGCTGCTGCTGTCCATGGAACAAATGCGGCGGTCACCGCATCGCGTGGCGCTTTCAGATGCGCTTCTACGGCCGTCTGGAACGCTTCTCCTGCCGATATTAGGAACACACTGAAGCTATGCACTTTTAAATCATTATCTAGATTGAAATCTAATTTCTTTCGAACCGCTTTTTTGTGTTCAGTGTTGCCCTTCGCACGCACCTCCGATGAGCACGATTGGCTACATGCGGTGCGAAAGAAGTTCAACATAGAGTGCATACGTACCATGACAAATGACAACATACCTATCCATATAACCACAAAGCCACACGTGGTGTCTAATTTCAATCAATGGTCGTACAGTGTTCTGTCTGTATTTCGTGATGCAGATTTATTAATGGCTCGTAGTAACATCACCCACCATCGCCATTTGTTGTTTTGCTTGCGGAAAAATAAAGCCGCAAAGTCACAGACGCTTCAAAATCCCTTAGCTCTGTTTTCTGACCAAAACAAGCACGCGTGGTCAGAGTAAAAACGGAACCCATTTCGTCATTTCGTAGCTGTAGGGGATGTCCTTGCTTAAAAAACAATATACAGTATATTTCCTCTGCATATCCGTCACTCCCAGACAGAGGGTGACACCAATGTTATT